ATTCTGAACTGAAATTCAATTTAGAACATTACTGACTGGGCTTAGTGGCATATGGCTGTAATCTCAGCTATTTTGGATACAGAACAAGAAGATCACAAGTTCAAACCCAACCAGTGCAATTTAGCAAAATCCAGTCAAAAGAAGCAGGGAGGTGGAGGATGTAGCATGTGCAAGGGCCTGGGTTCAATCTCAAATATAACAAAAGTAATAAAGAGGCCAGGTGTGGTGGCGCATACCTGCAATCCCAGCACTCGGGAGGCTGAAGCAAGAAGATTGCTGTTGAGTTCCAGCCAGTCTGAGATAGAAAATGAGTTCCAGGCCAGCCTAAACTGCATAGTGAAACCCTATCTTACACATACAAGAAAGGAAAGAAAGAAGGAAGGAAGGAAAGAAAGAAAGAAAGAAAGAAAGAAAGAAAGAAAGAAAGAAAGATGAAATCCAACCAAAGCTTGAGTACTTTTGGTTTAGCAGCATTATACCATTATCAATTTTCTGGCTTAAAATACTGTCTGGGGGCTGAGGATTTAGCTCAGAAGCATAAGCACCTACCTGGCAAGCATGAGGTTGTGAGTTCGATCCCTGGTACCAAAAAACAAATAAATAAAATTTAAATTAATAGATACATCAGTGCCCTATGGTTAAAGCTGGTGGTGGCTGGGTAAAGGGCCTATGATGGTTTTGCACTGTTTTTCTGACTGTTTGGTAAATCTGAAATGATTTCAAAACAACATACTTAAACTGGGTGTAGTGGTGCATATCTGTAATCCCAGCACTCAAGAGGCTGAGGCAGGAGGATGACCACTAAATGCAAGGTCATCCTAAACCACACAACCAGACCCTGTCTTGTTGGGCTATGAAGTGGCTCTGAGCAGGATTTAAAATTAACTAATTGGCTTTTGTGTTCATCTGTGAGTCTGTCCTAGGCCTCAGCCTCTTGCCTGGCGATGGGTACACTGGTCCTGGCTGAGGTCTGTAGCAGCCTGTGAGGCCAGAGATACCTCAAAGAACAAGGCCACAGCTGTGGATACTTGGCTCAAACATCAATTAAGTTGATAAAGACTACAGCTGCAGGAATTACTCCTACGATGTCTTCATAAGACAGTGCTACTGAATTGACTTGAACCATTACTTGGAGACGTCCTTGAAGTGATTCCCAAGGTCCTGCTCCTTCTCTGCAATTTCCTGTTTGCCTGCCCTAATAAAAGTGGGCGATCCAGAGAAGTCTCTGTCTTAGCCCTCAGAGTCTTGAGCTCAGCTAAAGGGTTTTGACCCTCCTGGAGCCCTAAAATCATACCACTTGTCTCATTCTATTTAAGCCTTTGCTGTACACTCATTTGGGAGGTTGGGGATCTAGGTCAAGACCCAGTACTGGGGCTGGGGATTTAGCTCAGCGGCATAAGCGCCTGCCTCGAAAGCAGGCAGTCGTGAGTTCGATCCCCGGTACCGATAAAAAGGAAAAAGACAAAAAAAAAAAAAAAAAAGACCCAGTACTGTCTTCCCCTAAAAACACTAACTCTCAGTCCTAGATTTGTAGGCCAAGCAACTGAATCCACAATGGAGCTATCAGTTTAGAAGAGGATGACTTGGAGAAGGCAGCCTTGGGAGGTGTCCCAGACGTGGACGTGTCAAATGTGCTCATGAAGTCCTGCATGCAAGTGTGCTGTGAGCTTCAGACTGAAGTCTAGTGGAGGCACAAGAATTTGGGGCTGGAAAGCTAAATTTGGAAGTCACTGAGGTACCTAAAGCCATGCTGCTGAATGAAGTCACTTAAGCAAGGAGGAAGGGAAGGGCCCATGGTCTGAGTCCCAGGGGTATCCCCCAAGTACCCTCACCCACAAGTGAGGGTATCCTGCTCACATAAGGCAGAAAGATCATGCAATGGGCAATTATGATGAATCATAGGGGGAAAGACAGGCATTAGCAGTTAAAAGGGCAGGAATTGAGTATGGTGGCTTATGCCTCTAATCCCAGCTATTCATGAGGCTAAGGCAGAAGAATCACAAGTTCGAGGCAACTTAATGAGACCTTGTCATAAAATAAAATAGAAAAAGGGGCTGGCACTATGCTCAGTGACAGAGTGTTTGCCATGTTCCAAGCCCAGCACTATGCACAGTCACACAAAATTATACAAATGCAAACAGGGACAATCTACAAAATAACTGACTGTCATTCCTCAAAAGTGTTCACACCATGAAAGTTAAACAAAACATCAAGAATCAATCACAGACTGCAGAAGAGACAGGAGACATGACAACTACTAACTACAACATGATGTCCTGGGTTTGATTCTGTGATGAGGAAAGTGCAAGATGGGAAAAGCAGAAACTCAGAAAGGAATCTGCCATTCATTGATGAGATTATACCAAGGGCAATTGCTTGGCTGTAATACTGGGCTGCAGCAGTGCAGGATGCTAATATTAGGGTAATGACCGGCACAGCCCCCCAATGAGACAGAGGACGCTCTTGTGGGTAACAGGAACTGCCGCTTTATTTACGCGGGCTCTGGTTTATATATTCGGCCGTGACCAATCACAGGCTGCCACGAGGAAGCAGGGCGGGAATGGGACGCAGGCTCTGGCTAATATATCCAGCTGTGGCCAATCAGGGGTTGCCACAGAGTCGGCACAGGGCGAATACGGAGTGAGCACGAGGTGCGCACGGGGTGGCTAGTTTAGAGAGGGACGTAACACATTGCGGAAGCTGACGTGTTCTTATCATCCCGGGCGGGGTGTGTTGAGCGCCTGCGCCCGACAGGGTAACAGGATGAAAGATATTTCAGAATTCTCTTTTGGATTCAGTCTGTATAGTTTTGAGACATGGTCTCACCATTTAGTTCAGCTGGTCTTGAATTCACTACATAGCCCAGGCTGGCCTTGAACTCACGACAATGCCCTCATCTCAGCCTGCCGAGTGCTAGGATTATAGGTGTGCACCACCACTCGTGCACCATTCTGGACACAGCCTGGTGGTGACAGCTTCTCTCTGCACTCAGAGCATCAGCTGGGGCAGCTGAATGATCTAGAAAACCCACTTCTAGGACGGTATTGGCTGTGGATAGTGAGTTTCACCAGGGCCAGGAGTCAGCAGCCTAAGGGCCTCCCCATCGGGCCTAGATAAGTAAACTGTGAAAAAGAGTGGATGGAAAGCTGCACCATCTTTGATGACCCAACCTCAAAAACATCACGGAATAGCCAGTGTGGTTGGGCACACCTGACACCTGGGACTCTGAGAGACTGAGGCAGGAGGATCACAAGTCCAAGGGCAATTCTGCAGACTTGGCAAAACCCTGTCCTAAAAAACAAAATCATCCTTGGTGGTCTAGCGGCTAGGATTCAATGCTTTCAATAAACAAAATGAAAAAGGGGGTAAAAAAATAAAAGAGGGGCAACCCACTTGGGACCCCGTCTGTCTCCAAGACAGAAGCTTTCTTTCTCTTAATAAACATTTCTGCTTTTAAAAAAATAAAAAAGAGTGTATAGATGTAGCACGGTGTGAAGGCCCTGGTTCAACTCCCAGTACTGAGAAAAAAATCCCAGTGTTCTTTCCTCAACAGGACAGTACATGTATAGCATGTGCCAGGCCCTGGGTTCAATCCCCAACAGGAAAAAAGAAAAAGATGGGAACAGGGATCCCTATGCAGCATGAGCTTCAGACAGCACTGGGTGCCCTCAGGATGGTACAGCCACAGACAGCCTGAGCTTTGAAGAACTTAGAAGTATTATCTAGGCATGTCGGCACACACCTGTAATCCCAGTACTCGGGAGGCTGAGGTGGGAGGGTCAACATGAATTCAAGGCCAGCCTAGGCTATAGCAAGATCCTCGCCCAAAACACAAACAAAAAGATGTAAAAGAAGCTGGAGCAGGGCTGGAGGTTTAGCTCAGCGGTGTAAGCACCTACTAGGCAAACTCAAGGTTGTGAGTTCCATCCCGGGGCACCAAAAAAAAAAAAAAAAAAAAAAAAAAAGAGGCAGCTGGAGCAGCAATGTATGTAGGAGAGAGGGGCAACTGTCGGGATGCAGCAAGGATGAAGCAAGAGGATCTAAGGAAGAGGCCACCAGGTCTTCTGTGAGGAGCAGAAGCTTCTCAGAGAAGCTTCTCATGGCTCATGGGAAATACCTGGGCCCTGGAGGAGCTCAGCTGGATGTAGGGGCAATTCAGTCCTTGATACAAGAGCAGTTGATCCACAACAGGGGCATAAAGAGGAGACAGGAATAAAGTCAGGGGTTAGAGAGATCTGAGGAGGAAGAGCAAAGACAGGTAGGGTCAAAGACTATGAAAACCCCAGCATGACTGTCCAGTTACTTAGAGGAGTCTATGGTGGGAGAATTGCTTTTGCCCTGGAGTTCAAGGCCAGCCTGAGCAGCACAATGAGATCTCATCTCAAAACAAACAAACAATAACAACAACAAAAAGCCAAAAAGAGAGAGAGAGATGCAGAGCCGGAAGCCTAGAGAAGTGGCACAGCAAGCACCCCCAAAGAAATGAAGTAGGGGTCCCGGGTGCCTTTCCCCCAGCTCCCAGCAGAGGGCACCCGGGTTTCCTTTCCCTACACGGGTGGGAGGACCAATATTCATCACGACTCCAGCCCATCGGTGGGGGTTATTTTTACAGTGTCACCGGACACCCAAGCTGGAAGGCCTCCTTGTGTCTGCCCTTCGGCTCCTGAGAGTGACCCTGAGGCATCTTCACCAACACCCCCGCCTCCTCTTGCTCTGTTCGGCTGGGTCTCATGGTGTCTTGCATAGAATAAAAGCAAAGCCCAGGGGCAGTGATGGGCACACAGGTTTAGCGATTTGCAGCTTCTAAAGAGGGCCCGCTGGGATGGCAGCAGAGTCCACTAGGTTATGATCAGGGATTCAGAAAAATGACCTCAAGTCCTCTGGAGTCCTCCGGAGCCATCTGTAGCCATTCAGACACAGGGCAAGAAAAACCCAACAAAGAAAGGGATGCTCCTTCCTCGTTAGTATAGTGGTGGGGAAAAAAAAATAAAGAAAGAAAGAAAGGGATGCCCCAGACGCCCAGAGGCAGGGACGTGGAGGGCTGAGAGATAGTGACCAAAAGGGGCCTAAGCTGACAAATACACTAGGCGGGGTAGGATGGGGTGGCGCGCGCCTGTGGTTTCTGAACTCAGAAGGCTAAGGCAGGATTAAGAGTGAGTTTGAGGCCAGCCAGGATTGCAGAATAAATTCAAGGCCCTACTGAACTACATAGTGAAACGTCTCGATAATAATAAGGACGGGAATGGTGGAGGTGGTGACAATAACAGAAACACAAGGGGAGACGAGAAAGGAAGAGACCTCTGGAAAAACAAGAGTAAAATAAAGACAGACATCCAGGAAGACAGACATGCCCAGACACAGTGGTCCCTAGTGCAAGAGACCTCAGAGGTAAGTGACCCAGGGAGCTCAGCGACCCATCCCAAACAGACCCAGAGCCAGGGCCCAGAGATGACAAAGGCGGGGAATGTGCGCCTAATGGGCACGAAGGAGCTGCACCGAGCCCGAGGGCCCTGATGCGCCCAGGCAGAGGGCGCCACCCCGCCGCCCGGGTCATGGCCCCCTCCCCCGTGCCCTCTACGCGGCCGGGCTATTTTTACGCGCGGACACCGGACACCGGTGGGGCGGCAGCGGCGGCGGCGGCGGCGGCGGCCGAGGCGGGGCGCGGAGGGCCGGGCGTCGGGGCACACGGGCGTCCGCGGGGTCCAGGCAGCGCGCGCCATGGAGCCGCCGTGCGGCTGCTGCGAGCGGCTGGTGCTCAACGTGGCCGGGCTGCGCTTCGAGACGCGGGCGCGCACGCTGGGCCGCTTCCCGGACACGCTGCTCGGGGACCCGGCACGCCGCGGCCGCTTCTACGATGGCGCGCGCCGCGAGTACTTCTTCGACCGGCACCGTCCCAGTTTCGACGCTGTGCTCTACTACTACCAGTCGGGTGGGCGGCTGCGGCGGCCGGCGCACGTGCCGCTGGACGTCTTCCTAGAGGAGGTGGCCTTCTACGGGCTGGGCGCCGCCGCCATGGCGCGCCTGCGCGAGGATGAGGGCTGCCCGCTGCCGGCCGAGCGCCCTCTGCCCCGTCGCGCCTTCGCGCGCCAGCTCTGGCTGCTCTTCGAATTCCCCGAGAGCTCGCAAGCCGCGCGCGTGCTCGCTGTCGTCTCCGTGCTCGTCATCCTCGTCTCCATCGTCGTCTTCTGTCTCGAGACGCTGCCCGACTTCCGCGACGATCGCGAAGACCAGGGGCTCGCCGCCGTGGCCGTGGCCGCGGCCGGCTCGGTGAGGGGCGGGGCCTGGGGATGGGCGGGGCTTAGGAAGAGATGGGCGGTGTCCGAGAGCCGGCCTGGCCAATCAGAAGGCAGGGCGAGGGGCTCTGAGGCGTGGCTAATCCCAGACACCCTGCTGGATCTGGGTCTTGGATTCTAAAGTAGGACCCGCCGTGTGCTACGGCAAGGCTGGGGGAGATGTAAACGCGCCTGCAGAGTATTGGGCCTTTGGGGACGGAAGTTGTGAGCCGAGGGACAATCTGGTCACTCCGGGATCTATGTAGCTGACTAGACACATGAGAAAGATGGGCTGGAGGGCCGCGAGTAGACCCTGAAGAGAGTGAGCTAAAGCCAGGTGGGCTGAGGACTGACGGTTGGGGAGCAGGAATCAGTCGCGAAGAAAGTCAGGCTCTGGGGAGGCGGCCAGCGGAGAGGCATGTGGGGATCTTGAATCACTCAGGGTTGGGGCTGGGGTCCGGAGAAAAGGAAGGCAGGACTAGAGGCAGAGCCAGAATGGGAACCTCCCCACTTGGAAAATCAGTTGGGGGGGGGGCGGGATTTGGGAAAGAACAGTTTCCACCCTACTGAAGCATCAAGTCAAGAGTTGCTGCTGAGGAAGGAGAAGGAATTACCTTCCCAGCACCCCCAACTCAGGAGACCAGAAAGGCAGCTGTCCAGGGTCGTGACAGTGACGGGGGTCCCGGGGAGTGAGGATAGCCAGTGCACTCACTGTGGTCTCAGGGACTGCCCACTCCGGGGTTGAGCAAGGCTGAGCCCTTTCCTCCCTGCAGTTCCCTGCCCGGCTGAATGGCTCCAGCCCCATGCCTGGACCGCCACCCCGCCTGCCCTTCAACGACCCGTTCTTTGTGGTGGAGACGCTGTGTATCTGCTGGTTCTCCTTCGAGCTGCTGGTGCGCCTGCTGACCTGCCCAAGCAAGGCTATCTTCTTCAAGAATGTAATGAACCTCATCGATTTCGTGGCCATCCTGCCCTATTTTGTGGCACTGGGCACGGAGCTGGCCCGGCAGCGGGGTGTAGGTCAGCCTGCCATGTCCCTGGCCATCCTACGGGTCATCCGGTTGGTGCGTGTCTTCCGAATCTTCAAGCTCTCCCGGCACTCAAAGGGCCTGCAAATTCTGGGCCAGACGCTTCGGGCCTCCATGCGCGAGCTGGGCCTCCTCATCTTCTTCCTCTTCATTGGGGTAGTCCTCTTTTCCAGTGCAGTCTACTTTGCTGAAGTTGACTCTGTGGAGTCCCATTTCAGCAGCATCCCTGAGTCCTTCTGGTGGGCTGTGGTCACCATGACCACAGTTGGCTATGGAGACATGGCGCCCGTCACTGTGGGTGGGAAGATAGTGGGCTCTCTGTGTGCCATTGCTGGCGTGCTGACCATTTCCCTACCTGTGCCTGTCATTGTCTCCAACTTCAGTTACTTTTACCACCGGGAAACCGAGGGCGAGGAGGCCGGGATGTATAGTCATGTGGACACCCAGCCCTGCATCAACCTGGAGGACAAGGTCAATGGGGGGCTGGTAGATGGAGAGGTGCCTGAGCTTCCACCTCCACTCTGGGCGCCCCCTGGGAAACACCTGGTCACTGAAGTGTGACTTCAAACCTCCCTGGAGGGGGGAGGGGGGAGGGGAAGCAGAGGAGGGGGTGGGGTTTGGGGAGAACTAGACTAAGTGGTGACCAGTGCTGAGTCTTGTTGGGTCTGTAGCTGCTACAGATACCTCCTTCAGGAGCAATGAATGCCAATGGTTTGTGTTGAGTCGAGGAGTGGCCCCACTGGTTTGTATTGACTCGTGTTGTGTCAAGCTTGTGGGCCTTTGGGAGTAGTGCTGAGATAGATTTGGTCACATCTAGTTGGGAGTTTCCTAGGTCCATGTTGGGTGGGGTGATGAGTCTGGGTTAGGTTTGTCCAACTGCATTATGCAGGGTTCTGTGCCTTTGAATCTTCTAGGGCCATGCTGGGTCAAGTCCCGTGGTCACTTAAGGGCATTATTAAGACTGACTGCATGGTCACGCATGTGGAGACATGTGGAAAATTGTGTAGCTTTATGTTTTTTCTAAGGTCATGTTATTTTAAGTTCTGTGAACTTGTGAGTTGTGTAGGAACACAGAGTCAAGTAACAGAATTCAAGCTTTCTAGGTCATGGTAGGTGAAGGTGGGTTGGAATGTATGACCGCATTCATCTTTTACGTGCTGTGGGTTGAGTTGTGTAGACTTCTGTAGCTGGGAGTTTCTCGGGGCTACCGTGAGTTGAACTGTGTTGAGCTATAGAAGCATGTGAATCTTTTAAAGTCCGTTCAGGCAGGTCACAGGACTGTTGGGTGAATGTTGGGTTGAGTTCTATAGAGCTGGAGAGTTTTACATTGGTGAAGGAAGCATCAGGACCCAAAGGTCACAGCCCTGGGCAAGAGTCATGAGTGGTGTGGATGTGGGCACTGCTACTGCAGAGGTGAGCTGGGTTCCAAGCCCTGGAGTCTGGGATCTGCCCACAGGGGCTCCTTGGAAGAGGAGTGCTCCTTCTGCTGACCCTACATGTGCTTCATCTTGCCGCTCGAAACCCCAATCTCTTGGCCTCTGCAGTGGTTTAGCAAAGAGGTGAAAACATGGAGGCCAGAGAAGAGAGGAGAAAAATGTTTGTTCTTTCTCCAGACATGATCGGAGACAGATCCAAAGGGAGGAAGAGACACAGACACAGGAAAAAGAAAAAAAAAAAGAGGGACAGAGACCTAGACAGAGAGCAGAAGAGATCCAGAGAAAGGGACAGGGGCCTGGAAAGAGAGAGGCAGAGACCAGAGAGAGAGAACGATTCAGAGACTCAGAAGGGGAAGCTGAGATTCAGAGACAGGGAGATAGAGACCCAGGGCAGGAGATGGAGACCCAGGTGATGTCAGGTGCCTGGGAAGCGGCACCTGTGACCAGAGCTGGAGCTGCACCACCGAGCCCCAGAGAAAGAGAACTAAAAAAGCTGGAAAACTCCATGTCCCCAGCCTGTCTATTCCCTGAATCATCAAGGGATCCTAAACAAGGCATGTCACCGAGTGCCTCCAGCCTGGTGTTCTCCATGTCTTCCAGGGAAGAAACCAGAGTCTCAGCAGGGCCGAGGCTTCCCAAGGTCACCCAGCAGGCGCCGGCCAGGACTCCTGGCCCTAGGCTGCCTGACTCTAGTCCCCACCGGCTGAGGCTGGGGGTGCTCAAAGCCTAAGGAGGCCTGCAGCCTTCTACCCTATAGACAGGAAACAATGCTGGCAGGGAACAGGGGATGGTGTTACCTAAGGTCACAAAGCCAAACATTTCTGAGTCTTTCAGGACTAAATGGCATTTGGAGGAGGCAGAGGGAGAGGAGGAGGTTACAATCACTAACACATATAGGGCTTCCTATGTGACAAGCATCATTGGAGGCACTTGAATTAACTTATTAAAACCTGTCCAGTGGTTTACAGTGTGGTGTTGTTATTTTAAGCCCTCCTTCCCCTGTGATCATAGAAACCCTTCCTCAGAGGCCCTGTGTGAGAAAGGGGGGATGTGAAGATGGGACACACCTCTTGCTGTGCCCCAGTGAGCAAAAGCAGTGAAGGAATTCAGTTTCAAAACCCCAGGTTTCATCCAGCCTCCTTTTTAGACGAGAAAGGAGCTACAGGTTTGGGGAGAGTTTGATAATGGTTGAAAATAATACAACCTTGAGCCCGGCGTGGTGGCTCATACCTGTAATCCCGGCACTCAGGAGGCTGAGGCAGGAGGATTGTTTCGAGTTCGAGACCAGCCTGGGCTGCAAACTGAGCTCAAGGCCAGCCTGAACTGCATAGCGAGACCCTGTCTCAAAAAGACAGAAAAAAAGAAAAGAATACAACCTTTAGTGGGTCATCTCTCTCTGAAATGGAGGAAAGCCATATTCCAAGACAGGTTGTCTCTGTCACAGGACCAAAGACAAGGTGGAGTCTTGAGGTGCAGTCTCCAGTACACAAAGAGATCCAAGAAGAGGGTACAGTGCAGAGGGACCCAGACTAAGAGCCTGGGCAGGAAGAAGAATCAAGGGTGAGAGGAGAGCAGAGATCAGGGGAGTGGATGAAAATCCAGAGGAGGGGACAGAGGCCCAGAGAGAGGGGACAGACACTGTTGCCTAGTTTCTCTCCTTTGAACACTCAACCCTGTCACCCACTGGGGACTGGAAGCCACAAAATCTCCTTGTTTGTTTGTTTGTTTTTGGTCATTTTCCTTTTTATCGGTACCAGGGATCGAACTCATGACTGCCCGCTTGCAAGGCAGGCGCTTATGCCGCTGAGCTAAATCCCCAGCCCCCAGAATCTCCTTGTTTGGAAGTAGACTGTGTGCCCAGTGGAAACACCAGAGACGTCAGAGAGGTGACCAGAAGTGACACAGGAGCCTGGGAAGTTCGCTTTCCCTTCCATAAACAACTGGAGCAGCCTTCTGTGCAGCTTTGGCTGGGATAGGGAGGAGAGGGGAACACCCTAATCCGGGGACACCCTTCCTGCCACCTTGCCATGCTATTTTTAGGTGTGGGTGGAGGGGTTGCCGGATGACCCCCAAGGCAGGTGTCAGCTTCCCTGCTAAGAATAGCTCAGGAGGAGGGGATCGGAGTCTCAGGGTGGAGGTGTGGTAGGGCAAAGGGCCCTGCCAGCCATGGACTGCCCCAGGACTCCCTAGGCTGTCTCCTCTCTCTCACCTCTCTCACGGTCTCTCTGGGGTACTGTCCTTTCTGTTAGGGTTCGAGCCTCCCCATCTGTTTTATTTTCCCTCTTTTTTTTTTTTTAAAGACAAAAAACCATGTAATTCAGGCTGGTTTTGAACTCGTGGCAATCTTCCTGCCTCATCCTCCCAAGTGTTGGGATTACAGGCATGCCCCACCTCCCCTGGCTTCAATCCTGCTCTTGTAGTATCTGCCCCTCTCCTCCGCTCTCTGGGTTTCTGTCCACTTCCTTCTCTCTAGGTCTCTAGCCCTTTTTTCTCCTGGTCTCAGACCCCTTTCCTCTGCGTCCCTTCCTTCTGCCTGTTTGTCACTGTTCACGGATTCCTTAGACAGGCCCCTCCCCATCCTTAAACACCATCCTTGTATCTGAGTCCTGAAACACCTTGAATTTCTCTCATCTGAGCTCAGGACAAGACCCTCGACTGAGTCCCCACCCAGGAAATTCCAGGAGAGAGGACTCTGGGGGAGTCCCTCGTCCACTGTCTCTGGGCCGCAGGCGGCCTTATCACTGCCCAAGCCCAGCTGGTTAATGTCTGGCGGGAGCTCCTGGGAAAGTGGGGATGAGAGCGGAGGGTGGGGATCTGCCCCGGGACTGACACTGAATTGGCAAAAGACTCCACAGGGATCTCAGGGGTCCTGATCCAAGGGAGGAGGCGTGGGACGGGAGGGGGGATGGCCTGGATCCCAGGATCTAAAGAGGGTGGGGGCCTGGAACCTGGGTCCGAGGGAGGAGGCTGGGGGATCCGGGACCCCAGGTCCAGGGAAGAGGGTTGGGCTCCGGGTTCCGCGGGCAGGCAGCGCGTGCAGGGCGGGTCCCCGCCCCCCGGGGGCCCCGCCCCCGCCCCCGCCCGGCCGGGCCTTCCAGAGCGCTGGGCGAGGAGCCGCGGGCCCGCGCGTCCGGGCGGCAGCGAGGGAGGAGGAGCCGCGCCACGGGCAGCCAGGGCGCAGCGGAGGGCGCCCCAGGTAAGAGCCTCTGCGCCGCCTCCCCCGGGATTCCCGACCGGGTCGCCCTGCCCCCGGGTAGGGAGGGGCGGGGGCGGGGCCTGCGGGGGCGGAGCTTGGCGGAGGAAACTGAGGCAGGAGGAAAGAGTGTCCCAGAGATGGAGCTCTTTCCCCTTAGCTGGACACGGGCGCCAGGACCCCAGCCCAAACCTCCTTGTGGAGGGGGAGACCAGAGAGCCCGCGCGTCTGAGCGCTCAGAGAGGAGGTTACGGAGCTCGAGTCCAACCTCCAAGGGCAGAGGGCGCTGGGATCCTGCACGCCTAGTCCCAGGGAGGTGGTGGCAGGGCGGGCCGAGGGACTCAACTCCTGGGCTGAAGGCGGAGGCAATTCGGGTCTAGGTTACCTAGTCCGAGAGAGAAGGCAGCTGGGGACCAGGAGACCTCCCTCATCCAGGGAGCCACACTCCTGCCAGGGTCGGGCGCCCGGCGCCTCTGAACACCCTGCCCTCCCTTCTTCCCTTCTCCGAGCAAGGGCGCGCAGTCACCCCAGGTATGCGCAGCCCTAGTCTCGGGCGGGCCCTGGCCTGTCCTGCGAGCAGCGAGCATTCCAGGAAGCAGCCCGTGGACCCAGGGCTCCCAGAGTGCGGGCCCTCCGGGACCGGGTGTCCGGGCCAGCCCCGCCCCGCCCGTCTGCGAGATGAATGGCTCGAGGGGGCGGCGATCCCTCCCAGCCTCCTCCATCTGCCCCATCTGCTTCCCATCCCGGCGGGAGTCGTCACCTGCGCAGGGAGGGGCCTCGACAGGAATCTCTCGGGTGCTTGCGCTCTGAAGGAGCTCTGGGGAGGGGTGTTCAGGGGTCGGGGCCCTCCCTCCCGCCTGTGTAACCTAGCTGTCCCCGTCTTCCCCCAGGTGGCTGCCCCCTCCCTGTCCTGGGATGTCAGGAAGGAGGGGGCCACCCGTGTCCTCTACAGGGGCCCCACCGAGCCTGGGGGCCCTCAGCCCTGGCCCTCAGAGGTGGAGGAGGTGCTGACAAGTCTGGTAATCACCTGCTGCTCCCAGTCTTGGGCTTCCCGAATGTTGTGGAGAGGGAGCTACACGCCCCATCACTCCACCTTATGAATTTCATTCCCCCCGGGGACCCTGAGGCCTAGCCGAACGCGGGGGGGGGGGTATCTCACTTTATTAATGGCAGCTTTGAGCTGCATATGAGTCTCCCTGGAATTCCAGATTCTGGGTTCTAAAATTGTAGGATGCAAGCCAGGTATGGGGACCTATGGCTGTGATTCCAGCACTTGGGAGGCTGAGGCAGGAAGATCACCATGACTCCAAGGCCAGCCTGGGCTGGAGACCTGGCTTCAAAAATCAAACAGGGGGCTGGGGATTTAGCTTAGCAGCATAAGCACCTGCCTTGCAAGCCTGAGGTCATGAGTTTGATCCTTGGTACAAAAAGAAAATCAAACAAACAAATTGCAAGCCTCAGGAGGGGTTTCTTGGCTTGGTTGAGGCCAGTGGCTTGGTTGAGGCCAGTGGGTGGAAGTGAGCAGCTCAGAGTTACAGTTGTCACCTCCATATTTGTTAGCTGTGTGACCTGGTACAAGTCCTTAACCTCTCTGAGCTTGCAATTGGCCTTTTTTTTTGGGCTGTGAACTAATAATAGTTGAATAATTAATCTAGAAGTTCGGCCGTAGTCCCAGTTTTGCAGGCTGCCCTGGGGCTCCCAACTTGTTCCCCGTGTTTTGCCCCCTACTCTAACCCCAACCCCCTTTCCTTTGCAGGTGCGCAGAGATGCACCCACATCCTTGCTGCTGCCTCCCCATCCTCCTCCTCTCCCTTCTCCCCAATGCCCCGGTGGGGTGCCACCCGCCACCCACCACACTGCCCCCATTTCCAGCCCCCGAGTGGGACCTCCTATCCCCCCGAGTAGCCCTGTCCAGGGGCGCTCCTGCTGGGCCTCCTCTGCTCTTCCTTCTGGAAGCCGGGGCCTTTGGGGAACCGGCCAGCGGTGTCCAGGGCGTCCCAGCCAACCGCAGTCGGCGTGGGGTGAGCGAGACGGCCCCCGCGAGTCGCCGGGGTGAGCTGGCCGTGTGCGATGCAGTGAGTGGCTGGGTGACAGACCGGAGGACGGCGGTGGACTTGCGTGGGCGCGAAGTGGAGGTGCTGGGTGAGGTGCCCGGGGCGGGTGGCAGCCCTCTCCGTCAGTACTTCTTTGAGACCCGCTGCAAAGCCGACGGTTCAGGGGACGATGGCGGGCCCGGGGCTGGCGGAGGCGGCTGCCGCGGAGTGGACCGGAGACACTGGGTGTCTGAGTGTAAGGCCAAGCAGTCCTACGTGAGGGCGCTGACTGCCGACGCCCAGGGCCGCGTGGGCTGGCGGTGGATTCGAATCGACACGGCGTGTGTCTGCACTCTCCTCAGCCGGACTGGCCGAGCCTGAGGCCCCTGTCCACGAACTGGTCCCACAGACCTAGAAAAGGAGGGAACTGAAGGCTAAAACACCTCCAGGGAGGCCTGGCTACTGAAAGGACCTCGGTTTGGGAACTTAAATGATCACAAAACAAGGCTTTCTTTTGATTTTGAAAGCTCAATCCATGCAGTATGTGTAGTGAAACCCCCAGTGGGGTTTCAAAGGTTGAGTAGGTGTTCTGGATCAACTTGAGGGTAATCATGAGCGTTATAAGAATGACAATGGCCAATATTTGCTGTGTGCTTTATTGCTTTGTTGCCCCTAATTCAGTGCTCCTCAGCACTGCTGTGAGTGTCAGAGGCCCTCTGCTTTAAGTACACACCACTCCAAGTCATAGCACACCAAGTTGGCACCCCAAGAGGAGGACAGGAGGCAGGGGAACTGGCTTAGGCTGCAATCCACCCCCCATTCTGAGATGGTGAGCTCCCTATTGCAGTGTGGAGCAGTGGGCAAATAAATGGTCAGAGCTCAGGATGTTGGAGAGTTCAGTCGGGTTTCTACACCCTCCCTTCCCTGTCAAAACCTTTACACCATATTGGGAGGAAACCAACCTTAAGTTTGTCTGACTTGAGTAAGATGTGAGGTGCTAACCAACTGCTGTGGGCCCTGGCTGGAATCAGGGATCACTGGGTGCTGATAGGCTTTGAGTAGCACCACAAAAATCCAGCAAGGGCCCCAGAAGGCTGAATGGTCTAGGGGAGTCACAGGGTTCCTGAGCCAGGCTATAGAAGGTGACCTCAGTTTCCCTTAAGGCTGGATGGGGAGGAGGCTGTAACAATGAGGACTGAAGTGCAGAAGTCTTGACCCAAAGGCTGAAAGGTGACAAGGGAAGTCCCCACACCCTCCACTGCCCCCCCCACCTCTTGCCAACACACACGTACACCCCCCACCCCCGCGCGCCACCGGTTCTATTGTTTGAACTTTGGGTGATCTACATCATTAGCCCCCCCCCCCCCCGCGCGCCTTTTAAATTTTACCTTGAGACAAAGTCTCCCTAAATCACTCCAGACCAAGCTCAAATTTGCAATCCTCCTGCTTCGGCCTTCCGGAGTGCTGGGATTACAGGCTTGTGCACCCGCACCCACTCACACACACATTCTCTTAGGTCCAGCTTTGAGCTAAGGCTCTAGACAGCCCTTCTCCTGCCACTGCACAGGAATCCGGGCCCCTTGGAAGGGCAGGGTCTGCTTCCTCCATTTCTGCATCTCCTTTCTGTGGGTCCTGTGTCTCTCTCCGACTTTGTGTCTGTCTCTGGGTGAGCAGCGAGTGCCCCTCTTCCCGCTAAGCAAGTCTGTGTGTTCCCTCCGCGACGCGCCCTCCTCCCATGCCCAGGTGGAAGTCTTCAGCCGAATCAAAGGCAGGCAGAACACGGCCGGCCAGCCGGCTCCAGTGGCCCGCAGGGGGAGGGGGAGCTCCGGGATGTCTGGAAATCGTTACCCTGAGGTGGGCAGGCCTGGCAGAGGGGGAGGCAGCCAGGAGATGTAGGAAAGGGTGTTTCTCAAGGATTCCCATGTGTTGAGCGGGGGCTCAGTCCTGGTCCCCCTGTGAGTCTGTCTGTGTCTTTCTCCTTACCATCTCCCTACCCCCTCCCACACTTGTTATCTTCACTCTGCTCTCTGAAACTTTCTCTTACATTTCTCTTGCCTCTTTTCCCTTTCTGCTTTCCTCTCAGTCTCCAGCCCTCCCCTATATCTCTGCAGTCCTGTCCTCGCAAAGTTCCCTAGGACTCTTTCTCCCTTGGTCCATCCAGATGCATGTCGGCTCTTCATTGGCTGGGCGATCAGGTTGGGCGGGTTCTGTCACCAGGGCAACAGCAACTACAACAAACGAGCTCCTGCTTGGCAACCAGTCAGCGGTGGGAGCATGGCCTGTCCCAATCTAGCTCTGTGCTCTAGTCCCCCAGGGTCACCCATGTCAGGAAGGGATGTGCCTGGATCCTGGCCCAACTGGCATCTCACCAGCAGTGGCACTGCTCATCACATTATCCCACCTATGTCCTTTCCCCCGCCCACTGTACTGGTGAGGAGACCAAAGCTGAGGGAGGGGCCGTGGGTGCCGAGAAAAAAAGAGAACGGGGTTTGTCTGCAGAAGTGTCCTGGGATCATGGGTCTGAGGGAAGAGGGGCCCTGGACTCTAGCAGATGGAAAGAGAAGGGTAAGGGTTAGGATTAAGGTTCTTTTTAGGTGATATGTGGCATCTTCGCCTCAGTCCACAGTCTTGGAGCCCCTACCCCCTGCCGCCAGGCAGGCTTTGCACATCTGGGATTTTGATGAGGTCATCAGCAGATGGGAGACGACTACTGGCTTGGCCCAGTTGCCCAAGACCCATGGTGGGCCCTACGCACAGCCCAGGGCCCCAGAGCCTGCAGACCCCACGCAGACAGTGGGGATCAAAGCTTTAGAGGCAAAGGTAGGGTCCCAGGATTCCCCATCGCAGGGGAGATGGGGCTGGGCACTGCACCTGAGTCCCCTGCCTCACGTTGGGTCACTGGGTTGCCTTTCTGCAGCTCAGACACTGGCGACTCCCCCTGAGCACAAAACCCCAGAGCAGTGAGATGAAGGCACAGTACAAGGGCTGGCCTACCTTGGACCAGGACACCACCATCTACATTGGGGCCCAGCCCCTGCCACTTGCTGACAAGCACCCTGGAGGCCCGGCCCAGGTCAGAGAAGAGGAGCCAGAGAATGGAGTGTCCAGGAAGAGTGGGAGGGCACTAAGGTTAGGGACTAATCTAGGAGATCCTGGGATGTGGGTAGGGCCTGAGAGAGATCCAGATGTGGAGGTTTGGGACGGCCTTGGACTTCTCTAGCCTCAGCTAGAAGAGGGAGGTGACTGGAAATTTGAAATTCTGGCTCTGAAATGGGTTTGAAGAGGGCTTGAACTAGTCAGGTAGGACTGGGGGTGGAACTAGAATATTCCCAGGCAGCGTAGGGGTGGGAGGTGGCACTGGGTTTACTTGAAAACTTGACGTAGATTTGCCACCCAAGATGCACTGGTTCCCAGTGCCAGAACCAAAGTGTACTGGAGGTGGAATGGGAAGATCTGTGTGTAATTCGGTGGCTGTGGGCTTTGATTTGAGTGTTTAGATTGGTGTGGGCTTTAGGGAAGAAACTAAAGTAGCCTGCTGTGGAACTGCTTGGGAAGGATTCTAGGGGCAGAGTGGAAGAGCCTGGTCCAGCAGGGCTGCCGTAGTGGAAGATGTGCAGTCTGGGCCCCAGGACTTGGAACCAGGTGTGACCCCTTCCTTTCCCACCCCTCCTCCTTCCATCTCCCTCAGGCTCTAGTCCCCTGGACAAAGAACCCTGAGCTGGCTGGCCAGCATTTCACGATATCTGACCAAGGTGTCCTGGACCGCCACCAGATCTATCTGACCACTTCAGCCCGAGACTTTGGCTTCTACCCCAAGTAAGCCGCATCCTCGATTGCCCCTAATAGCCCTCCCACCCAGCCCTACCTAAGCCAGTGGGAGCCCAGTCCTTTTCTGATGGTTTCAACCGTTGACTCCAGAATACAGCAAGAACCAAAGTTCCGACCCAGTTCCTATCTCTTTTTAGCATCCAAGTTAGGGATGATAGTAAACCCCTGTAATCCCAGCTACGTAAGAGGCCGAGGCAGAAAGATTCCAGGTTTGAGCCCAGCCTGGGCAATCCAGTGACTTAAGAAGACACTATGTCAGATTTTAAAAAAAATAATAAAAAGCTGGGGATGTAGTTCAGTAGTAGTGTTCGCCTAGCATACAAGAGGCTCTGGGTTCAATTCCCAGCAAAAAAAACCCACCCTAGGACACCCCCCACAATCCTGGCGCTGGGGACTGAACCCAGGGTCTGTGTGTCTTGAGGAAGTGCTGGGCCAACGAGCTGTCCAGTGTTGGGCCTGGGCAGCTTGCAGAGAAGAGCTAGCTCAGACAGGGGTGGGAGAGACGGGGACACACTCCCAGGACAGAGCCTCCTTCCCAGGGATGCGACCGGTTCCTGGACCCAGGAATTGACTCCGCACCTCCTCATCTCATTTTCTAAGGGGTCCCCCAGTCCTACTAGTGTTCATTCACCTCAAAAGTAGGAGTTGGGGTCTGTTCCTCTGGCACAGAGGTCTGATCTCCGGAACGCTCTTCTGCAGGCAGGAGCTCTCTGGCTACCCCCGCCAGGACGTATTGACCTACTGGAACTTCAAGGGGGCGCTTCGGGGCAGGGCACCCAGCCTGCAGCGGCCCAAGCAGCTCTGGCTGCCCCGCGCGCTCCTGGTGACGCCGGCCGTGCCGCACCGCGGGTCCCTGTCTCTGGTTCAGGAGTCCTACAGGGCTCCACTGCACCCTCTACGCCGGATGGACTGGTTCTGCCCGCTGGAGGCGCCCTGGGGCGGCCTCCACTGGAAGCCCCTGCCGGGCATCTTCAGCGTGCCCAAAGCCTACAAGACAGAGTCTTGCAGCTATGGCAGCCTCAAGCCCGAGCTGGTCTGAGTGGGCAAGGTAGGGCCTAGGCCAGGCCAAGCCCACTGTCTCGGGAGGAACCGGACATGTCCATCAAAGCAGCGGCCCATCAGAAGACACACCCTGCCAGGGGCGGGACTCTACGCACCTATTAAACTCAGGCCCTGCCTACTCCTGGACTGGCTCTTTGAATCCTAATCTCCCCGCAAGAATTGGAAGTGATGGTGGGGTGGGGATGTTCTGTCTGAATCTCATGGGCCCCTGCCGTAGCACAGCACTTGGGAGGCCTCTAGGACTGGCTGGACCTTAGACGGAAGCCACACCCCTCCGGAAAGGCAGGACTGGCAGGCAATGGATGGCTTCCAGAGTCCACAAGTGGCCCCAGCACCTTCCTGGGACAGAGTAGCAACCCAGAGGTGGCCTCTTGGTCCCTTACTGGGTCAGGGCTTTCTGCTTCCCACTTCCGGGGGCTCCAACAGGACCTAGGCTCTACCTCCGGTCACCTTCAGCATGGTGGCTGTGAAGCCACTGCTGTCTCGGTGACCTTGTCGCGTCCCGCCCCCGGGGGGATTAGTGTCCAGGTTACCCCAGCTTGCTAACACCACCAAGTGGCCTTGCCACCCCCACAACTTACGGGTATAAAGCCAGGGAGAAAAGTAAGGGCAGCATCAAGAATGGAGATGCTCCAGGTAAGAGGCGGCCCTGGGGAGCTCCCCTCTTCCAGGCCACACTGTAGGGACAGAATGGTGTCACAGGTAGAAGTGGCCTCCTCCTAGCGGGTGTGACAGTCAGCAGGCTTCCCACAGGTGGGAAGTGGTGCAGCAACACATGATGGTGCTGGGGTCCCTGGGGTTAGCCCCAAAGTGTTGGGCTGGGGCTCTGACTGGGTTGCCAGGTCACAGCACCTGAGGGTCTGGCCTTGCTCAGGGACTGCTGCTGGGACTGCTGCTGAGCACAAGTGGGGTATGGGCCTCCAGGGGACCGCTGCGGCCCTACTGTAGGCCTATCAACGCCACCCTGGCTGCAGAGAAGGAGGCCTGCCCCATCTGTGTCACCTTCACCACCAGCATCTGTGCTGGCTACTGCCCCAGCATGGTGAGTGGCCCAGGTGGGCAGATGCTGACCTGACAGGGGCGGGGACCCACAGGCAGTACCCGGTAGTGGGAGGGAAGGTGTGCACGGTTCCAGGACACCCAGAGCCTGAACCTGGGAGCAGGGTACACTCAGGTGAGGCCCTGGTTCCAGTTGATGCCCACCAGCCCTGTCTTGGTTCCCAGATGCGGGTGCTGACGACAGCCCGGCGGCCCGTGCCCCAGTTGGTATGCACCTATGACGAGCTGCGGTTCGCCTCCATCCGGCTCCCTGGCTGCCCACCTGGTGTGGACCCTGTGGTCTCCTTCCCCGTGGCACTCAGCTGCCACTGTGGGACCTGTCGCCTCAGCAACTCTGACTGCGGGGGTCTCCGGGGCCAGCCCTCGGCCTGTGAGCTCCCCCACCTCCCGGGCTTCTTCTTTCTGTAAGGACCCGTGAAGCCTTCCCAATAAAGGCTTCCCAACCCGCATGCACTCTGGTCTTTCTGTAGCTTACACAACACACACTGTGGTTTCCAGCTGAAAAGCATTTTCTACAAATTCACAGTGTTTGAACTTGGGTAGAAAACAGGGTGGGGTAGTGGTGACTTCAGGCTCAAGAGGTGTCCATGGTTTCACCTTCTGTGGGAAGAAGGGACAGTTTGGTCAGTGCAGCCCAGAGGGTGGCAACAGCAGAGGAGCTGGGGCAGGCACACTCACTGAGCTCATTGAAGAGGAATGCATCCTGGTACTCCTTCATGTACTGTGTGGACCGGGACTCGTCCAGGAAGAGCGAATAGACCCGCTTGATGTCATCTACCTGTACCTCTGTGCCCTGTAGGAGAAAGAGGCCTCAGAGGGGCCTGCCCCGTGACCCTGCTCCCGCCCCACCACACCCCCACGGCAAAGCTGACAAGCGAGATAGGACCCCAGGCCAGACCAACTAGGCTCAGACCCCACTACCACACCTCTCAGCTGTGGGCCCAGCCTTGGCCTCAGCTTTTTCATCTGGGAGATAGACTTATGATTTACTGTAGTCAACATACAGAGCACCTAGTATGAGCCAGACCAGGAGATACAGAAACAAACACAATCCCAGCACTTGGGAGGCGGAGGCAGGAGGATCGCTGCAAGTTTGAAACCAGCCCGAGTTACAAAGTGAGATCAAGGCCAGCCTGACTACATAGTGAGACCCTGTCTCAAAAACTCTAACATTCAAATAAGAAAATACCGTCTAGGCCTTAGTAACTGCACTGGGCGCTGACCTTGCGTTTCCGGCACACAAGGCTGGCTGCTGTGATGAGCTGGATGGCGTAGCGCAGGGACGTCTCCAGCCCGATGCGGGTGAGCACGGTGTAAGCATCCTCGCTCATCTCCACGTCCTCCTCCTCACAACTGTGGTGGGACCAGGGCTCCAGCTGCAGCACAGGGGCCTGGCCTCTCCCTCCCGTGTATCCCCTAGCCACAGATGCTGTGGCTACACTTAAAATCCGGGTTTCTTGGTCCCCACCCCAGGCCCTTTCCCTGCTGTCAGTCACTGGAGCTTCGCAATGGCTCTCCCAGCTCAGCCGCCTCCCCCTCCCTACACACACAGCCGCAGACCCGGGTTCGGGCACAATGCGCATGCGCACCGGATGCGCAGAATCTGCTTGGTATCCTTCTCACTGTAGGGCGAGGTGGAGACGATGAGCAGCCGGTCCAGTAGGTCGATAGGGATGCCGTGTGGGCTCTGGTAGCTGGTGCCCCGGATCCTGGGGGAGAAGTGGGGCAGGCTGTCAGGTGGTACCAAAGCAAGGGCTCTTGGTGCTCACCTGGAAAGTGCCACCCACGCTCCACCAAGGCCTACGCAAAAAGCTAAATACGCTTGACCTTCGGCTGCAGCTCACGTCACCTCATAGCTGTGTCATTCCCCCCACCTCCTGCCCAGTGGGGTGTTCTTGGAGTCAGAGATCTATGTCCAGGATTACTGGATCAAGGTCCCCTCCCATCTGCACAGAGCGCGGCAGGGCAGGGGGACCGGCTGTCCTGGGCCCTGATGTGCTTGAGCAAGCCCCAGGCCTGGCTGGAAACTGGCAACAGGAGACACGGGCAATCCTTCCACGGTCGTAGTGGCTGGAAACAACCCTCACCTTCACTGGAAACAACACTCAGTTAGCAACCAGAGAGCCACTGCTGCCAGGGAAGCTGCATTCCCAACAGCCTCTGGTTACACTTTCATCAGCCAGTCAGCAAGAAGGGAGGCTGAGGCAGTAAGATTCAAACTCTAGCCCAGCCTGGGCAACCTATGACTTAGCAAGACCCTGTCTTAAAATAAAACACGGCATAGCACTCAAGAGGCTGAAGCAAGAGGGTTACTCCTGGTTCAAGTCCAGCCTGGGGGTACATAGGGAGCTCAAGGCCAGCTTGGACTACAGAGGGAGACCCTGCCTCAAAAAACAAAACAAACAAAAAACACAAAAATGTAACAGCCAGAGGGCCAGGCATATAGCACAGTAGTGCAATATCTGCTTGGAAAGCTCAAGGTCACTGAGTTTGATTCCTGGTACAAAAAAACAAAACAAAACCCCAGCCAGGAATGGTGGTACACACCTGTAATCATGGCAGCTGGTGTGAACCACTGTAAGTTCAAGGTCAGCTTAAGCTACACAATGAGTTCAAGGCCAGCCTCAATGCACAGTGAGACCTTGTCTCAAAGAGACAGAAACAAACAAAACAAAACAAAACGAAAAACAAAAAGCCAAGATCTGCACAGGAAGACTTGTTGGGCCACCACTGCCTCCCTAGCTCAGGGACACTAACTGGCATTTTGCTGTGCAAAAAAGCAATTCATGTGGGGCTAAAGAGATCAGAAAAATGACACTTGCTTATAGTGTGGGGGCTGCAAGTCACCTCATCCACCTTGAGGGAGCAACATGCACTACCATGCACAGCCTCTATGCATTTTTATTTTTATTTTTATTTATTTATTTAGTCTTTTTCCTTTTCATCGGTACCAGGGATCGAACTCACGACTGCCTGCTTGCAAGGCAGGCGCTTATGCCACTGAGCTAAATCCCCAGCCCCTTCTATGCATTTTTAAACAAAAAATAATACTAAGAGTTTGAATTGATCCTTGTTAGTATAGTGGTGAGTTAAAAAAAAAAAAAAAAAAAAAAAAAGAGTTTGAATTGAGTGAGTGCTTAGGTCCTAGTGACTTAAGGCGACTTGAACACTTGCTGCTCTGCCCACCCGAGTGGGGTGGACAGCAGCAGTGATTTGGAGACTGTGAACACATCTGAGCAAGCAGCAGATCTGTAAGTATAGAATCTAGCCTGTGACCCCAGCACTGGGAGGCAGAGGCAGGAGAATCGCTGTGAGTTTGAGGCTAGCCTAGGCTACACAGTGACTCGGAGGCTAGCCTGGACTATACTGTGAGACCCTCTCTTGAAAAACTAAATTAAATAGCCGGGTGTGGGGGCACACCACCCGTAATCTCAGTACTCAGCAGGGCAGGCGGTGGCAGGAAGATCATTGGGAGTTTGAGACCAGCCTAGGCTACAAAGTTGAGCTTAACACCAGCCTGAACTGCATAGTGAGACCCTGCATCAAAGACAAAAGGGTCAACAACATAGCTCAGTGGCACAAGTGCATGCCTGGCAAGCAGCGAGGCTGAGTTCCATCTCTGGTACAAAACAAACAAACAAACAAACAAACAAACAAACAGAATCTAACAACTGGCTGTCTCCCACAGATAACCCTGTGGAGTTCCCAGGTGCTGATCTGCAGGTCCCATAAGCGCGATGTAATGTCTCTTTGGGGCCTACCATGTTATGTTTTGGTTTTGGCCATGCTGGGATTGCACTCATGCCTCTCACATGCTAGGCAAATGCTACACCCAGAGCCACATCCCAGTCTCATAATGTGCTGAGGCTGAGTCTTCCTATTTTCCCAGGTTGGCCCTGGATTCGTGATCCTCCTCCTTGGGTTCCTGAGTAGCTGGGACCACCATGGTATGTGCCACCACACTCGCCAGGCCCTGGAAAATGGGACCAAGATGTTCTTTACCCTCTGAACTTTTTTTGTGTGAGCAGGGAATAAAACCAGGGCCTTGTGCAAGCTAAGCATGTGTCTGACCACAGAGCCACACTGCAGCGCCTCCTGTGTCACTGAGGAAGGTGTGAAGAGTCCTTCCCTGTCCAATCCCAGCCCAGCAGGGCTGCCTGCCTTCCACTTCCTTTCTGCTTCCTGTAGCTAAACCATGGATGGGCAGGCAGGGGAGTCAGCACCATGGGGCATGGGCGCAGGGATGTGGTGACAGAAGGTTCTAGGCATCATCCTTTGGATCTCAGGAATTTAATCTATTGCTTGCTTGCTAATTTATTATTATTATTATTATTATTTACATTTGGTTTTCTGAAATAGACTCTCACTGTACAGCTCAGGCTGACCTCAAACCAGTGGCAATGCTCCTGCCTCAGCCTCTTGAGTGATGGGATTATAGGCTTGCACTACCACACCTAACCTCCATTACATTTTTTGACCAAAAATAATACTAACAGTTCAAATTAAGTGAGTGCTTGGGTCCTGGCTACTTGAATAATTACAGTGGTTTATGTAGTATCTACCAAGTGTCATTGTTATCGTCTCCAAATTAAAATAAACATCACCCAGCACCTTTTGGGTTTACTGCAGCAACCTGGGGTGCTTCCCACATACTCTGGAAACTGTAGCCATCAACACCCCAGGACCAGCAGGTTTCCTATCAGGCAAAGTTGTCTGCTTGACCCATGCTTCTGGCTGTCTTGCTGAGGGGAAAACAATACCTCTTTCAGCTGAGCATGGTGGCTCATGCCTGTAATCTCAGCACACGGGAGGCTGAGGCAGGAGGATCATTTTGAGTTTGAGACCAGCCTACGCTACAAAGTGAGCTCAAGGCCAGCCTGAACTGCATAGAGAGACCCTGTCTCAAAAAGACAAAAAAAAAAAAGAATACCTCTTTCCTGGGCTGGAGTGTAGCTCAGCAATAGAACAGCAGCCCAGTATATGGGAGACCTGAGTTCAATTCCAGCACAACACAACAACAAAACAAAAAACAGTCGGGTGTGGTGGCACTTGCCTGGAATCCTAGCATTCAGGAGGCTGAGGCAGAAGGATCACCATGAGTTTCAGGTCAGCCTGGGGCTACATAATGAGTTCAAGTCCAGCCTGAACCACATAGCTAGACCTTGCCTCAAAAAAGAAACGAAAAAGAAAACAAAAAAGAAACCAAGGAAGCCAGAAAAGCACAACTTTCCTGTCTGAGAATCTGCAGTAGGGAGCCCCACCTAGCCAGTGCTTCAGTGAGGCACCCCAGTTTACCCTGTGGCCACACTCCAGCCCAGAGGCTGCTGAGGTCGCTCACCTCGTGATGCCCCGGTTGGTGGCCATGATGAGCACAGGTGCCATGTCACTCTCTAGGGCTCGGTTGAGGAAGGAGAAGCTTTCGATGTCTAGCATGTGGACTTCATCGATGAAAAGCACCTGGGGGCCGAGGGGTGTAGGTCAGCTCCCCCTGCCCCTCCCCTCCCTGGCTGCCCCTGCACTCGGGCTGCTCACCCCCGGAATGATCTCCGCCTTGCCCTCCTCGCGCCACTCTGCCACCTTGGCGTTGATCTGCTCCCGGACCTCTGACTTGATCTCCCCTGTGTCACCTGCAGGAGACAGAGGCGATATGGGGGGAATCTGGAGAGGAGAATCCAGAGAGGGCCAGGCCCGGATTGGTGGAGGACAGTGGCAGGAGATCGGGACAGAGCAGTGAGGGTTTGAGATTGTGGTAGCAAAGCGGGAGGAAGGCTGGGGTGGCTGAAATGGACCCAGAGAAGAGGAACGGGGTGACAGAGCAACCTGCCCCAACACACAACCAGCAGAGGGACTTTACCAGCGATGGCTGGGTCAAACCAAAAACAGATGGGGAACAGACAGCACCTCATGGGGGTGGGGGCGGGGTAAGGAGAAGACAGGCTGTGCCAGGACACACAGGGACCAGGCATCCCCAGAAGCCACCAGGAGCAGGTGGCCTGACCTGAGAAAAGCGCCAGGAAGCCCTGGGTGCGGGAATTGATGACGTCAATCTCGTGCAGGGACACAGTGTGTACCACCTCCTTGCGCTTCTGCAGCTCCCCATCCGGGCACTGCACAAACTTGGTCTGTGGGGCAAGTAGGGCAGGCGTGAGGGCTGCAGCTGGGAGCCATCTGGCCCAGGCCAAGGTCCCTCAACACCTCTGACAGGCACGGGGTTCTGCACATGGGGCTGCAGAGTGCCAGTGTCAGGCTGGGGATCCCAGGGAAGACACTGTGTCAAGATGACAAGAGGAGACAGAAACATATCCCGGCACCTGGTGATGAGGGGCAGCAGAGCCCCCACGCACCTGGGAGCCCATGGCGTCATAGTCTCGGGCGCGTGTGAAGGAGCGGCCCAGCTTGGAGATCTTGCCTGTGGCCTTGTCAATGGTAATCACATCCCTGTGGCAGGGCAGGGAAAGAGTGAGAAAGGGGACAGCTCGGGTCCCATGTCCCAGCTCGGGGTCCATGTCCCCTTGAGGGCCCCAAAGCCTCACCCAGCCTGGACCTTGTCCTTGGTCAGTGACTCGATCATCTTGGTGCCCAGGTCATAAATGGTCTCCATTTCTGTAGTCTTGAGGGTCAGCTTGCCCACCTTGGAGCCCTGAGAGGATGACAGCCAGGGAGGGGTTCAGTAGGCACCAATGTGGCCCAGATGTCCCTGGCCCAACCTTTGATCTCACAGCTTCACAACAAGCAAGGCACAGGCAGGTGACTATTGGTAAGAGGAACATATGTACAGTGAACATGCACACACATGCACACACACATGCCAAAAGCCAGGCCTAAGGAGCCTGGTGAGGTGGCACATGCCTGCAACTCCAGCCACTCAGGAGGAGGCTGAGGCAAGACAATTCCAAATTTGAGTCCAGCCCTGGCAACATAGAGACACCCTGTCTCAGAGTGACACAAAAAGGCGGGAATATAGCTCAGTGGTAGGACGCTAGCCTAGCATGCTACAAACTTAGCATTCAGGCTATAAAATAGCAAAAAGCAAAAATAAAAGTGAAACCATGCAAGGCAAGGTAGTTTCACATTTCAAGTCTATTTCAGCCGAGTGCAGGCCTATAATCCCAGCACTCAGGAAGCTGAGGTGGGAGGGTCACTGCAATTTGAAGGCCAGCCAGCCTGGGCTCCAAAGTGAGACTCTGTCTCAAAAACAAAAAACACCACAAAACAAAAAATCTATTTCCATTAGAAACGAGAAGCCAGTAAGCACAACACCTGCCTGGCAAGTACAAGGCCCTGAGTTTGAGTCCTGGTACCAAAAAAAGTAAGAAGCAAATGTAGTTAATCTTGGAAGCAGTCTATTTGTCCATCAATAGATGACTGGATGAGAAAATGTGGTATTAGCCAGGCATGGTGGTTCATGCCTGTAATCCCAGCACTTGGGAGGCTGAGGCAGGAGGATCGTTGTGAGTTCGAGACCAGCCTGGGCTACAAAAGTGAGCTCAAGGCCAGCCTGAACTACATAATGAGACCCGGTCTCAAAAAGACAAAAAAAAAAAAAGAAAAGAAAATGTGTTATTTACACACAAATAGACTACTACTCTGCCATAAAGAAGGATAAATTTGAGATTTACAGGAAAATGGATGTACCTCGGGACAATAGAATTAAGTGAAATAAGTCAAACAAACTTAAATATTACACTGCTTCTCTTATTCAAGAAGTCCAATATGTAAGTAAAGAGTAAAATACCAGAATAGATCATTGGAACAGAGAGAGGAGATAGATCTTTTGCAAATGGTCAGGGCCCCAAGAGATGGAAGGGAAGGGCCTGGGGATTTAGCTCAGTGGCATAAGCACCTGCCTTGCAAGCAGGCGGTCGTGAGTATGATCCCCAGTACTGATAAAAAAAAAAAAAAAAGAATGGAAGGGAAGGTGGAAAAGGAGCAAATGAGACCCAAGACAGAGAAATGGAAGGTGACCAGGGCTTAGGTAAGTGGGCTAAACATGTTTTAAGTTTTCTCTCTCTCTCTCTCTTTCTCTCGTGTGTGTGTGTGTGTGTGTGTGTGTGTGTGTGTGTGTAGTGGAGACTAAACCCACACAGGGCTTTTGCACTGAGCTACATCCCCAGCCCTTGCTTATTTTTTGAATCAGCTAAATTGTCCTGGGCTGGATTTGAACTTGCCTTCCTCCTGCCTCAGCCTCCCTGAGTGTGGGTACGACAAGCAGGCACCATTGAGCTTTCTTTTTCTAAGCTTCCTAGGAGCACCTGAAACTTAATATATAGAGAACTATAAAAGATGAACTTCAAAACTGTGATGCAAAAAGACGAAAAAAAAAAAAAAATGTGATGCCATGGGATGGAAGCAGACACAAAAAAGCACACTGTGCATGCATCTGCTGCTACCCAATGCCCAGGGCTGGGACCGGAAGTGGGCAATGGGGGAAGAGGGTGGAAGAATCAAAGAGACTGTTAAGGGGGTACCCTTCCTTTTGGGGCAATGAAAACATTTTAGAACCGGATAGAGATGATGGCTGTACAACAAAATATGGAATTGTACTCAAGAAAAAAAGAGTTAGGGGCCGGGGATTTAGCTCAGCGGCATAAGCACCTGCCTTGCAAGCAGGCAGTCGTGAGTTTGATCCCTGGTACCGATAAAAAGGAAAAAGACAAAAAAAAAAAAAATGTTTAAAAAAAGAGTTACAGAAAAACTGTGACACGGAAAGGTGAAGCAGCAACCCTGCTAAAGCCTGGCACGGTGGCGCACATGTGTGCTCCCCACATGTGGGAAGCTGAGGGCAGAGGATCCTGAGAGTTCAAGGCCAGCTTGGGCTACACAGTAAGATTAAGGCCAGCCTGGACAGCACAGCGAGACCCCAGAACAAACAAAACAGCCCAAAAAAAAGGCATGAAACATAAAACCCTAGCGTTCCCCACATGCAAGAGGGCTGAGGGGGAGGCGCCCTCGGGCACTGGGCCATCTGGACCCCACATGGTAGGGCTTGACGCCTAATCCAACAGGATGAACCACTGGGAGCCTGCAGCCCACCACTCACAGCACCGCCCCCTTAGCTTAAGCTGTCCCAGTGTCCCCAAGCAGGGATAAAGCACTGCCACTGACCCAAGCCCACGGCAGGTGTGCAAGTGGCTTGGCTCAGGTCTGCCACCAGGCTTTGGACCTCAGTGCAGCCCAAGGAGGAGCCTCGCTTTGCCCTGGGGTCTAGGAGCAGTGTACTCACCGTCCCTGTCGCTGGCCGGTCGATCTGGATCTCCACCACCTCCCCTTCAATGATCTCTGTCTCCTCTCTAGCCGGAGAGAGGTGTGAGGTTCAGTCTGCCGCCCGGGCTGTCAGGAATCAGGCAGTGGACAGCAGCCGGGACGGGGACTGCAGGATGGGCCAGAGGCCACCGGCATGTGCTGGGGCCCCAGGACAGCCACCCCCACTCCCAGGCCTGGGAGCCACTCACTTGATGCGGACACCGATGGAGCGGCGGAAGGCCTGTGTCAGCGCCTCAGTCTTGCTCATCTCCAGGGAAAAGATCTCGCTGCCAGCGATGGCCGTGAATGGTGTGTCAGGGCCCAGGGCCTGCGCCATGCCTGGGAACAAGGGCAGGGGGGCTGTCAGTGGCTCCTGGCACCACAGCCCAATGTATCCTCCAAGGAGGGGAGCGCAGGGATCCTCTGGTCCTCATAGTCACCGCTGCCATACTTCCCATTCCCCCAGAAGGGTAGGAGCCACTCTGTCCCTAGCTGCTTCCCTTAGACAGGTGTCACCTGACAAGGGACCATGTCTGTAGCCACATCCCCGAATGGGAGTGCCTATCATGTGTTCCCCAGACAGCAGGACGAGGACACAAAGGACCTGGCTGTTCCTTTGCTCCTTGCTGCCTGATCCTGCATCCTGAGAGGTGGGAGTGAGCAGGACAGAAGTTAGGCAGAGAAAGCATTAGAGGCAGTGAAGTGTGAGTAGGGTTTTGAAGGCTGGAGAGGAGTTCAACACAGAAGATGAAAAATAGTTGTGGTCCAAAGATCCTAGATCACTAGGGGGTTGCAAGAGAGACTGCACATTTTTCTCTTCTTCACTGGTGTTAGAACACTCCTTTTATCACAGTGTTGGGAGCCGCGTCTGTGATAGCTCGCCTTGCGCGGCGGACGTGCGGCCTGTGGTAAAGAGCAAAGCCTGAGGTAGATTACCCCTCCCATCGAATATGTTAGTTTCCTGCTTACTGCGTAAACAACCCGCTCAACAATATAGTCTGCCTGGCAACTGATGATGTTAGCCAATCAGCTTGCCTTGCTTACTTTAACATGATTGGACACTGTACCCGTATATATACCGGTGCCACCCCTGGGCGGAAGAAGAAGCCAGGTAGAAGCCCAGAAGTAAAAGCCCAAAAGGAGCCGCGGAGAGCGGACCGGTAGAGGCTTTGGGGCAGACTGAAGCACAAAAGGAGCCGCGGGGAGCGGACCAGAGGAGGCTTCAGCTGGGAGCGATCCCAGGGCAGGCTGTACGGAGAAGAAAAATAAAAAGAAAAGGTTGTCCACTGCCAGACTTTGTCGTGTGTCCTTCCTGCCGGCCGGGAGCGGACATCGACATTTGGAGGCCCGCCCGGGGACTGATCACCCCCGAGACGTGGAAGTGGACAACGCTCCAGTACAGAGCTGCGAGACAGGTGAGTTGGGGATAAGCCTGGGCTCTGGGTGGCGCGCACCTACAGGGCTTTTAGACTCCCCTCAGGCTCACGAGTAAGTGGCGGATTCCTTGGGCCTCACGCGGTGAGTAACATATTAAAAGATGGGAAACATGTTAGGTAGCAACACTAAGAGCGAGGGTGGTTGTGGAGAAAGCTCTCAAGAGCTTACAAAAGTACGCAGGGTATCTGAGCAGGCCCAGTCAGGGAGCTCCCGAGAGGGGTCCGTTAAGGGGAACAAGGATGCTAAGGAGGAGGACGGGGCTCTAGCCTCGGAGTCGTCTGACTCCGAGGACGAGGGAAAGTTGAATGGCAAGGAGGCCAAAGAGACCAGCTGTCAGGAGCCTAAGTCGCTCGATAAGGAGTCACAGGGTTCTTTACCTTGGGGGCCGTTTCTGGAGGCGATTCCTCGCCACGAGGCGGCCGCCTGGGAGCTCTCTCCCCTTTTGCCAGAACAGGAAGTGATGCACGGGCCCCCATTTTCCGCCCAATCACGGCTGCTGTCTTATGCTCCGCCGCCGGCGGGTCGGTATTTTTACAGGCGGCTTTGGCAGGGGGGACGCTTGTCTCATGAGGTACATCCACCTGGGATAGATAGTGGCCCCTACGGGATATTTCCTGTACAAGTAGCTATGGGCCAGGGACGCAATGTATGGGAGCCTTTTGAGATAAAGCAGATTAGAGAACTTAAAAATGCAGTTACAACCTTTGGGCCGACTGCGCCTTACACCATTGCCATGCTGGAGAACCTGTCTTCTGGGCCCCTCACCCCCGCGGACTGGATTCAGCTGGCAAAGGCGTGTCTGCCCTCGGGCAGTTACCTGGATTGGCGAGCCTGGTACGCAGAGTTCTCTGCAGAGCAGGCTGAGAGAAACGCCAATCGGGGAAACCGGGGGTGGAACAAAGAAATGCTTATGGGAGAAGGTCGGCACGCTGATGACCAGACCCAGTTCCCCGGCGCTGTCTATGAACAAATCAATGCCATAGGGCTCCGCGCCTGGAAACAGGTAAGTGGTGCCGGAACTGCCTCCTTGTGTCTTTCAAAAATAATTCAGGGTACCACAGAGCCATTTGTTGACTTTGTGGCCCGAATGCAAGATGCTGCCGATAAGATATTTCCTGATCCGGGAGTGGCTCAACCGCTGGTAAGACAGCTGATTTTTGAGCAATGTACAAAGGAGTGCAAGGCAGCGATAGCTCCTCATAAGAACAAGGACCTCAACGCCTGGATTAGGATATGCAGAGAGATAGGGGGGCCGCTCTCCAACTCGGGAGTGGCTGCTCTCCTGGCCGCGGCTGTACAGCAGAGGGGACCTCGCGGGTTAGAAGGGGAATGTAAGGCTAAAGGGTGTTTTGCCTGCGGGGAGCCAGGACACATTAAACGTCATTGCCCAAACAATGCAGATGCTAGGCCTCGCCCTAGGAATGAAGAACCATATGTTTGTGGGCGATGCAAAAAGGGATCACACAAAGCTGAGGAGTGTGGGTCGGTCTTTGATGCTCAGGGCAACCGTATTTGTGGACAAGATGCTAGAGAGCCAAAAAACGGCCAGAGGGGGCCCCCTTCACAGGCGGGCCCCCGCCCCAGAGACAGGACAGCTCAGGGTGGCAGCCTTCAACAAGGGCCACCCCTGGGTCAGCAGGTGTGGACCTCAGTGTCGCCTCCAGACTTATACAGAAGATCACCATTAGGACGGATGGCGTTAGGACCCTAAATGACATGCAAAAGCTATTGGGAGACATTAATTGGATTAGGCCATATTTACATATACCAAATTCAGATCTCAAACCCCTGTTCGACCTTCTGAAGGGAGACCCAGATATAGCCTCCCACAGGAGGCTCACTCCTGAGGCAAGAGCTGCCTTACAGAGAGTGGAAAAAGCCTTAGGTGGGGCTACCTTACACAGAATTGAACCAGGGCGACCCTTTGATGTCTGTTTGCTACAGACTAGTCTACAGCCCACAGCGGTGATTTGGCAGAAAGGACCATTACTGTGGATACACCCTAAGGTCTCACCTGCAAAAGTCATAGAGCATTACCCGGAGGCAGTCGCTTCATTGGCCCTTGAAGCGCATGATAGAGCTGTCCAACATTTTGGCTCAGGACCACAAGCCATCCGAGTACCCTATACCGCCAGCCAGATCAAGACCCTGGCTGCCTGCATAGATACCTGGGCCATTCTGAGATGTGTTTTCCATGGGGATATAAACAATCAATACCCTAAAGACCCTATCTTGTCATTTGTCACTCAGCACCCTATAATTTTTCCAAAGGTTACTGCCTCTGAGCCATTAGTCCCAGCAACTACAATATACACAGATGGCTCCAAGACGGGGATAGGCGCCTATGTGATCCTAGGCAAGCCCCCGGTTACCATACAATTTAAACCAGATCAGCCTCAGGTGGTAGAACTGCAGATCGTTAAAATGATTCTTGAACGGTTCTCAGAAGCCATTAACATTGTCTCCGATTCTAGATATGTGGTCAATGCTATGCAAGTGCTTGAGACTGCCAGTTTAATTAGATCCACTTCCACAGTGGCTGGACTGTTCCTGTCTATCCAGACATTGCTTCAGAACAGACACCATAAGGTCTTCACCACCCACATAAGAGCACATACATCCCTGCCAGGGCCTATGGCACAGGGGAATGCGGCTGCTGACACTGCCACTCGCCCGTTATGGATTTTTACCTTACTAACACCAATCGAGCGAGCCCGTGCCTTCCATGATAAATTTCATGTTAATGCCAGGACACTAGCAAACCATTTCCATGTTTCTAGAGCAGATGCACGAGATATCGTGCGACTATGTGACTCCTGTGCCACATACAAACCTGCCATACCGATGGGAGTAAACCCTCGAGGTTTGATCCCTGGTGATGTTTGGCAGATGGACATCACACATATACAGGAGTTTGGGACTCTTAAATATGTTCATGTTTCCACAGACACCTGTTCTCACGTCATATTTGCAACAGCAGAAACAGGTGAAAAAGTGTCTAATGTGATCAATCATTGCCTGGCGGCTTGGGCCGCATGGGGCAAACCAAAAATATTAAAAACTGATAATGGACCAGCCTATATAGGCAAAGCCTTCAATGAGTTCTACAAAATGATGGAGGTTCAATTAAAACATGGTATCCCATACAATCCCCAAGGTCAAGGAATCATTGAGAGGGCTCATAGAAGCCTCAAAGAAATTTTACAAAAACAAAAAGGGGGAGTAGGCCAAGGCCTGGCCCCAAAGGCACGATTATCCATGGCACTATTCACACACAATTTTTTAAATTTAAATAATGATAATCGCTCCCCAGCTGTGGAGCACTGCAACCCTTCCCCCAACCATAAAGGGTGGGTGAAGTGGAAAGATGTCCTGACAGGACAATGGATGGGCCCGGATCCAGTGGTCAGCTGGAACCGAGGCGCAGTTTGTGTTTTCCCACAGGAACCGGGACGAGAACCACTGTGGGTACCGGAGAGACTGACACGGGCAACAAAGCCCTCGACTGAAGATCAGACCTGCCCTACTGGAGATCCATCACAGACCAACCAATAAGATGAATAGAAATAGCGGTAGCCCGAAATGGACAAGAAGATCCTCAGGCATATGCATGGCTTGCTCAATTGGCCCACGACCGAGTCTAGATATGGCGGGCATCCCTCATTCTCCTCCATAAGGTGACAATACACAGCAGGGTAGGTGAGTCAATGACGGGTAAGAGCGTGCCTCCCCAGCACGACTCGACCTAAGCCAGGCCCTACCCCATCCTGCACGTAAGCCGCTGGACTGTTAGATGCTGCCCAGGTCTAAATTTCTCTCCGAGGGGATTTCTTTACGGAGAGGAAATGAGTGCAAGCTTGTGTGCATCCAGGTTCCGTCCAGTTTGTGCCTGGCCCTAGAAAAAGGACGAGGGCCTCAGGGCCTTGGCAGACCATGGCATGGCCAACCAGGGTCTAAGCCAAGGACCTACGGTGGGCCTACACATAGGGCATAAGCCTCTGCACCCAGTCCAGGAAGGGCTACGATGCGCACATTCATAAAAAATAAAATAGGGGGAGATGTTGGGAGCCGCGTCTGTGATAGCTCGCCTTGCGCGGCGGACGTGCGGCCTGTGGTAAAGAGCAAAGCCTGAGGTAGATTACCCCTCCCATCGAATATGTTAGTTTCCTGCTTACCGCGTAAACAACCCGCTCAACAATATAGTCTGCCTGGCAACTGATGATGTTAGCCAATCAGCTTGCCTTGCTTACTTTAACATGATTGGACACTGTACCCGTATATATACCGGTGCCACCCCTGGGCGGAAGAAGAAGCCAGGTAGAAGCCCAGAAGTAAAAGCCCAAAAGGAGCCGCGGAGAGCGGACCGGTAGAGGCTTTGGGGCAGACTGAAGCACAAAAGGAGCCGCGGGGAGCGGACCAGAGGAGGCTTCAGCTGGGAGCGATCCCAGGGCAGGCTGTACGGAGAAGAAAAATAAAAAGAAAAGGTTGTCCACTGCCAGACTTTGTCGTGTGTCCTTCCTGCCGGCCGGGAGCGGACATCGACATCACAGTAGCAATAAGCCAAATTAAAATAATTAAAAATGAGATAAAACAAAATATTTCAATGTTACAATGCCTTCTGCAGCAGAGTGAGAATATCTGATCAATTTCTGGTCAACAAGATAAAAGCAAAAAATTGTGGCATTTCCAAGAATGTTATTTCAAGGGAGCTAACTCTATGAGGTACAACTTCACTGCAATTCTGCTTTCTTCCTGTTGCCTGGAAGATAAGTAGGAAGGCTGGAGCTTAGGCAGCCAACTTGGAACATGTAATCTCGACATGTAAGTAAATATAAGTTGAGGCAGGAAAACAGAGGGCTTCATGGAACTGCTAACTTCTCAATGGCAAATACCTACATTCTTTTAGATGACAAGGAACACTGAGTGTTTCTGCTACTGTCTTTTTGGGCTGTATACTAACCAAGGCAAACCTGACCCTGACTTAGACGGAAGGGACCACTGGCCCCACGAGGCCTCTCACCCATGGCGATGGCGGTCTTCCCGGTGCCCGGCTGGCCTGCAATGAGGACTGCCCGTCCAGCAATCTTCCCCTCTCGGATCATCTCTAGTATCACGCCAGCTGCTCGGCGGGCCGCCAGCTGACCCACCATTCCCTGCGAAGCCTGGAAGGAAAAGGCATGAAGTCAGTGACTTTCTGCCAGGCCAGGGAGGCAACAGCAGCACTGCTGCCTAGGGCTTCTCTAGCTACTTGTGTGACTCCTTTGAGACAGGGTATTATGTAATTTAGACTGGCTCTGAAGTCACTGTGTAACCCCAGCTAGTCTACTCACTATCCTCCTCCTGCCTCAGCCTCCCAAGTGGACGGATTACAGCTAATTGCCACTATGTTTAGCTTCATCCCAGTTTTTCAGAACCAATAAAATACTTTATGTGTGGCACTGAATGAAGCCTGTAATCCCAGTACTCTGAGAGGGCTGAAATGGGTCGGTTGCAAGTTTGAAGTCAGCCAGGGGGAATTGGCAAGTCCCTGTCTAAAATGTAAAAAGAATTTCGAAGGAGATCCGGTAATGTACCTTGGGTTCAAGCCCCAGTACAGGAAAAAAGGAAACAGAAAAACTGCCTCTACATGTGGCTCGATTTTTTTAACTAGGCATCAAAAGGTCAGAGAAGTCAGAGTGTGGCCCACAGCCCCCCAGGCCCGGGACCCCAGTCTCCAGCTCTCACGGAGCAGCCCCCATTCCCATCCCAGCCCCTTTCTTACCTGGCGAGGTTCCAAGGCATCATCCAGCCCGAGTCCCCGGATGTGGGAGTGGGCACCTATGTACTCGAAAGAACAAGAGACTCAGCTTTCCACTCCTCACACAGCATGAGGTGGGGGTGAGGGCTGTTAGCTGGACGTGGTGGCCCACACCTGTAATCTCAGTACTCAGGAGGCTGAGGCAGGAAGATCTTGGCAAGTTCAACACCAGCCTGGGCTGCAAAGTGAGCTCAAAGCCAGCCAGAACTGCACAGCAAGACCGTCTCAAAAAGACAAGCAAACAAGTAAATAATAAGAACAAAGAACTATAGCTCCTTTCTCAGTCACTTGGGGCCCAAATCACCACCTTCCCAGGGGACAGTTTGTACTGGGCTACCATTACTGCCAACTCATTAGCTACATCATCATCTCTAGAACCAATCGGAGTATTAATGATGAGCTTCCTGAGAAGAAGTAGCCCAGTTACTGTCACCTCAGAATACTTCAGTGACAGCAGCCCTTGAGTCAATTTTTTTTGAGACAGGGTCTTACTGTATAATTCAGGCTGGCCTTGAACTTCTGGAGATCCTCCTACCTCAGTCTCCTGAGGGCTGTGTATGTGCCACAAAGCTCAGCCTTAAAGCCTTATTTACAAAGTGCTCAGAGAGGTTGGGGTCCATGCTCCAGCCCCTACAGTCAGTGAAAGGTAGGCGGATTCCAGTGCTTTTCACTAGGACACGGAAAACCACAACTTATGGACCAGTTTCCTGCTTGTGTAACTAAAGCCTTCCGGGAGCCAGGGCAAGAAGGGCTGTTTTTACACTGTGACAGCAGAGCTGAGTGAGTTTCAACAGAGAAAAGATTTATCTCCCAGCATCTCAAGAGTTCTACCACCCCTGTGCTAGGCTGAAGGCACCAAGGGCAGTGACCAGGGCTGACTGGTCCCCTGGTGTCCTCAGCTCCCTGCAGGGCCAGGCTTTACCAGGCAGAGCAGCGCAAGCAGGCCTGGCAGACGCTGTACTCATTTCAGTTTCTGGACATTATGTTCACCAAGGAGGGGAACTACAGGGCTCCCCGTGAGGATGAGGAAACTGTGGCACTGCAGGCTGGAAGCTCTGGTCACACAGCTCGGAAGTAGCCGTGCTCAGAGAACCCAGCACGGAGCTCCCGGAAGCCGTTCTCTAGCCCTTCCTGGGGGTGCTGTGGTCACACCCCTGCCCACAGTCTTGTCTCTCCACCGTGCCTCAGTTTCCCAGGTGACCTGGCCCCCTCAGAGACTCAGCTACCTCAGTTGAAACTGGGGCCAGCTGAAACACTCTGCCTGCTGTGGACAACACGAGGGCTCCACGGTACGAAGACCCAGGCATCTGAGGTCACCTGCAGAGTCTGCTCTGCCTGGCCCGTGCTGGGGACACAATCCGGATCCCTGCAGGAAGCGCAGGATAGTATGGCGAGCGTGCAGGTCACCACAGGCACCCACATGTGACTGCCTGGACCCACACCCCAGAGCCAGCCAGAACTCGGGATCCTGCCATCTCCTTCCTTGCTCAGGAGAGCTGCTCACTCACCGATGCGCTCAATCCTGGTGACATCACGGATCTCTGGGACTTTGGTTGTGGCGGCCTGGGGGTGTAGGAAGAGGGGTAAGAAGGACCCTTGTGGTATCCTCTGTCCCTCCTTCCCACCTGCCAGCAGCAACTTCTTTCCTCCACTGGTAGACAACAGACTGAACCCCAGTCCCGGCACTCAGCTATCACCAACGGCTTGGTGATCAGCCCTTAGGACACTGTCTCAGGAAGACAAGGACAGTCCAGTCACAGTTGTCTCTCTATCCCCAGGGCTTAGAGCCCAGGAATTCCCCGGTGAGTGACCATGTCCTCGTCGTCCCCAAGGACCATGAACTCTACACCCACACATAACTACCCTGCAACGCTGTTTGTGGTGGCCGCCTTGCACATGCGCAGTCCAAGCCCCCTGAGATCAGGCATCAGTAGCGCAGGGAGGCCCTTTCTGACCACTGACCCTCCAATCAGTGTCCCGGGCTCCGATACCTGAAGCGCACAGAGAGCGCAGCCCATTCGTCTCTTATTTTGGGCCTCAGTGTTTGAGGTTAGAATAAATGATATACTAGCTGGGCATGCTGACGCACACCTGAAATCCCAGCATTCAGAAGGCTGAGGCAGGAAGATGGCCTCGAATTTATTTGTTTGTTTGTTTTTGGTCTTTTTCCTTTTTCATCGGTACCAGGGATCGAACTCAGGACTGCCTGCTTGCAAGGCAGGCGTTTTTGCCGCTGAGCTAAATCCCCAGCCCCTGATGGCCTCGAATTTAAAGTGTGCTTGAGGCCAATCTGAACTACATAACAAGAGCTTGTCTCAAAACCCAACAAACAGCAAGGCGTGGTGGCTCACGCCTGTAATCCCAGCACTCGGGAGGCTGAGGTGGGAGGATTGTTGCAAGTTCGAGACAGGGGGGCTACAAAGTGAGCTCAAGGCCAGCCTGAAATGCATAGTGAGACCCCGTCTCAAAAAAACAAAAAAAACCCCAACAAACAAATGTTAAGAGCAGTCCTGTTCCTAACACCCAAAAGGTGGGCACAACCCCAAAGCCTGAGGAATGAATGAAATGTATTCTAGCCATACAATGGCATAGTATTCAGCAGTAAACAGGGAGGAGGTTCCAGCATCAGCTACGACATGAACTCTGAAAACATCATGCCAAATGAATGAGGCCCCACACAGAGAACCACGTATTTATGATTCCATTTCCATGAAGAGCCCAGAACAGGCCAATCCAGAGATAAAAAGTTGATAGTGGCTACCTAAGGCTGGGGATGGGAAGTATGAAAAGATTAGAGGACGCCAGACAAGGAGTTTGAGGTTTCTTGTTGGGGGCAATGACAATATTCTAAAATTAATTATGGTGGCTGGGCATGGAGGCACACACCTGTAATCCCAGTACTCAGGAGGCTAAGGCAGGAGGATCTTGGTGAGTTCAAGGCCAGCTTGGGCTACAAAGTGAGTTCAAAGCCAGTCTGAACTGCATAGCAAAATCTTATCTCAAAAAGACAATCAATAAATATTGATTATGGTGATGACTGCACAAGTCTCAATGAATACCCCAGCTGTAAACTAGTAAACTGTGGTACAAGCCCTACACCTCAATAAATGCTTATAATCTCTGCTATTCAGGAGGCTGGGGCAGAAACATAGCAAGTTCAAGTCAGCATGACTTTATCTCAAGCAAAACAAAACTAAACCTAGAAAGTGGGTCCTTTGATGTCCCTCACATTTTTCTCAGATACTCATGACTTCCCATAATTTGTTTTTTTCAACTTTTTTTTTTTTTTTGTGGTTGAGACAGGGACTCACTATGTAGTTCAGGCTGGCCTTGATCTCACAGTAATCTTCCTGACCCAGCCTCCCAAGTGCTGGGATTACAGGTGTGCACTATCACAGCTGGTGATTTCTAACAAACAAAAGGAAACCTAAGAAGCCAGCATACTGCCCCAGCTCACCAGGCACCTGTCCCAACTCTCTTTGCTTCCCTCAGCTTTTTCCTCATCCTCTGTTAGATAGGGCATGAGGGGGCTGGGGGCTTAGCTCAGCGGCATAAGCGCCTGCCTTGAAAGCAGGCAGTCGTGAGTTCCATCCCCGGTACCGATAAAAAGGAAAAAGACAAAAAAAAAAAAAAAAAAAAAAGATAGGGCATGAGGCCTCAACTAGAGGAAGTGTCCACTTTCAGGAGCCATGAAGTGAGACTCCTGGCTTCCATATGGCCACAGTCTGCCCCCCTGTTGTGTGACCTCTCCACTCCTCTCTCCTCATAGGCGGGAGGGAGGGGGCCCAGAAGCATGAGCTACACTCCCCTTTTCAGAGACTGGGAACACCTGTATGCACATACACACAAACACACATGCACACTCTCCCTCTATGGGGGTGGAATCTCTCTCTATGGGGACTCTGGAATCCCAAAGTTTACTCTCCTGACATAAACAGACCCACTGGGCAGAAACTGCCTCCTACAAGGTCTTTTCCTTTCACTGTAACTCTCTTTTACACCATGCTGCTCAGTGGCCAGTGAAAACCAAGGCTATTTTAAGACTCAGCACTGGGCTAGGGCTGTAGCTCAGTGGTCAACTGGTTTCCAGTATTACAAACACAATACCAAAAACCTCAGTTCTCCAGCTGCTCATGGTGGCACATGCCTGGAATCCCAGCACTTGAGAGCCTGAGGCAGGAGGATTATTACAAGTTCAAGAGCAGCCTGGGCTACAAAATGAGCTCAAGGCCAGCCTGAACTGTACATCGAGACCCTGTCTCAAAAAAAGAAAAAAAATGACCTCAATACTGTTATATATCCAAATGTCCTTAGTAGGACCTATGGTCATTGCCCTGTGTCTCTCCTACCTCCCTACTTTCTCCTCGTTGCCATGGTAACAGCAACAGCTCAAACTCTCTCCCCAGCCCCTCCTCCCTCAAGAGTGCGGTAACCATGGGGACCTCACGCTTCCCCGAGCAGGTGCCTGGCCCAGTGTATCTTGTCTCATAGTCTTGGGTCTCACACTCACTCACTGAAACAGTCAAGCAGTGACTTACTGAGCATTCACCAGTAAAGGTGACCTGCATAAGGTGCTTAAACACAGGAAAACTGCCAGAAGAGAGCCATGACAAGAGTCCAACCTCTGCTCCAACCTTTCCCCCTCCCATTGACAGTTTTAGTTCTCATGGCTCATTCTGCTAAAAGTTCACCAAGGAACTTCTTGTTCTGAAGCATAGAGGGTACGATCGCATTTGCTCTGGTCCCTTGGAACTCAGGAGCATTTGCACCACGAACACCCCAAGGTTCTTAAGTAGACTGGAGCCCAGGATGCTACAACCCTCATCAGACTGGGGTAAATAAAAGTCTGCACGATGAGCGGCTGACGGCGCCGATTTGCAACTGGAGTTTACATCACGATGGGGCTCAAACCTGAGAATCCAGGACCCATCTTGTTTTACTTCATTCTCTCGGAACCAGGACACCCAGGCCCCTACTGCCTCTTCCTTGAGACCCAGGGGTTCAGGCCAGCCCTTCTCCCTGAGACCCAGGAGTCCGGGCCCCGCCTCCTCCCGACACCCAGGGATCCAGGCCTTTAACCTCCACCTCCTCTGATTCGTGAGTGCAGATTCACTCCTCATCCACGCGCCAACACTTACCACGGTTGCCATGATGCTCACCAACCGGCAATGCCTTAGCGGAAACGGAAACGCGATAGCAAGCGAAGCGCTTGGACCCTCTAGCCTAGCAGGTCATCCAAATGTCTCGATGGTTCCTCATAAACATATTTACATATACCTCCCCGTTGGGGCGTGGCGGCGCTTTTAGACCCCACCCATGCGGCGCAGCGGTCAGAAAGATGGGTGTCCGGAACTCTGGCGTCCTTTCCCAGTGTCTCCTGGCTCCTCCTCCTTTTACTCAGCCCCCACCCCTGTTGAGGCAGATTGCAAAACTCCTAACACTTCTTTTAGCAACCACACGTCTTCCACGCTCCCTTTCCTTTTTATCCCACCCTCTTCTTCCTCCCCACTTGGGGCCTCTACGTTCAGATTGCTATATCCAAAAGCCAATCGCTTCCGTTCAGAACAGCGACAAACCCCACCCCTTGGAGCTCATCCACAGATAAGAACGTGGAGGGTGGAGCTAACTGGGTCTTCTCCACCAATGGGAAGAAACGGGAGTCCCGCCCCTGGGCGCCGACCAATGGCTGGCTGGGGACGGGCACCGCCTCCTGGCGGCCACAGAGCTCACTGCAAGTTTGCTTCAGGATCTGTAAACGCTGCGGCTGCCTGTGGCCAAGTCCGAACGCTCCCAGGGCGGGGGTGCGGTCGTGTAATAGGAAGCGGAGCACGCTGCAAGCTTCCCCTCAACAGCCGCTACCCGGCCCCTCTCTCTGCCTAGTGCATCCCCTGGACACCTCCGGGGTCCCCACCAGTGATCCTGGGAGCCCCCTTTCCGCACCAGCCATGCCTCTGAGCCGCACGTTGTCTGTATCCTCACTCCCAGGACTGGAGGAGTGGGAGGATGAGTTCGACCTGGAGAACGCAGTGCTCTTCGAGGTGGCCTGGGAGGTGGCCAACAAGGGTGAGCACGCAAGCGCCAGGGCCCTTGACGAGAAGGGCAGTCGGGGATGGGAGCCCGGAAGGCCGACTCAGGGGTACACAGCACCGCGGAGGACTCTTGGGTCTCGGGCAAGGTGCCTGTGACTCCTCTGTCCTTGAGAGGGACTGGTTTTGTCCCCTAGGCCCTAGCGGGAAGGGCTGAGAGGTTTGAGTTAAAACGGAAGGAGGCTTCCAGGCCCTGGATCCTAGCGGAGAAGACAGTAAAACAGCAGCTTCGCAGGTCTTGGGAGGGGCCTTCCCAGAGACCTGGATCCTGAACCGGGAAGGAGCTGAGGGTGGGACTTGTGCATGCAAAACCGGGACTGGGCTGGGGGTTTCAGACCTGTGATCCTGAGGAAGGTGGTCTCAGGATGTCCTTCAGGACGGGGGACACAACCACTGGGAGGAGGATGCATGGGACAAAGAAGTGTTTGGGGATCTGGAGGCTTGAAAGTAAAAGTTGTAGGGGACTGGAGACCCTCATTCTTAGATCATAGAGAGCCACTGGGAACCTGAATGCTTTGAAAGAACCAAAGGCCTGAGCCGGTGGTGGCTTTGGACATATGTGTCCCACAGGGGAGAAGCTGGGAAGTCCAAAGTTGGTCAGGGGCTGGGCCCCATGATGGGAGTGGCTGGAAGCCTGCCTTTCTGTATCTTGGGCTTCTGGGGCTAGAATCCCCAGGAGCTAGGCAGTTTCTGTGTCACCCCCTCAAACAGTGGGGGCCTGGGGTCTGCTTTGCTGGCACTGGAGGAGAAAGGGACAGAGATTCCCAGCATGAGCCAGGACTTGTGGACTCACAGCCTGAACTGCCAGGGCTCAGGCTTTAGGAGGTGAGGAGCCCGTGTGACCCAGGCCCCTGGTGGGGGTCCCAGGAGAAGCAGAATCTTGTATGCCTGTGTCCCCAGTCAGGGGGAGAGGCCTGGTAGACAGGTTTGTAGGGTCCATGAGGAGCAGGCTGGGATGATTCAGGCTTCTCTTAAGTAACTTGGAAGCCAAATAGGCCCATGGGAGCATTCTCCCTGCCATGGCTAGGACCCTGAGAATTTAAACCCAGCTATTGAAGACTGAGAGCTTAAGAGTAGGGTCCCAAGAATCCTCATCATCTGCCTTCCTTGGGCTTCCAGCCCCTAATTTGCTCAGACCACAGAGCAAACCCTCCAGTCACTCTTCCCTTGGCCCAGTCCCACCTCCCTCTGCTTCCCGTCCCTGCTTCTCCTGAGCTGGGGGTCCAGGCCTCCACCCTGTCCCCTGCATTCCCCTCCCCACCCCATCCCAGGCCTGTGGACCTGGGCTGGGCCTGTGCTCACACATTTGGGCCCACAGTGGGGGGCATCTACACGGTGCTGCAGACCAAGGCGAAGGTGACAGGGGATGAGTGGGGTGACAACTACTACCTGGTGGGACCATACACGGAGCAGGGTGTGAGGACCCAGGTGGAACTGCTTGAGCCCCCAACCCCGGCCCTGAAGAAGACGCTGGACTCCATGAACAGCAAGGGCTGCAAGGTGAGACTCAGGCACCCGAATGCTGCACAGGAGGATGGGTGGAATGGCTGGCCCCGGGAGGGAGGTCTGAACAGTTGAGGTGGCACTTTTCCAGGCAGGGTGGTGTAGGGTGCCCCAAAGTGGGGGGAGTCCATTATGGGTGAGTGGACAGGAAGACCAGGAGCTCTGGTTCCAAGGACCTAAGGTCCTCAGCCCCACAAAGAGAAGAAGAGTTAGGCAGTCAGCCTAGGGGGTGTGGTAATATCTGACCTATGATCCCACCACTCAGAGGCTGAGGTAGGAAGATTGCTGCAAGTTACACCCCATCTCAAAAAAAAAAATTTGGGGTTTGGTGGTATACACTTGTAATCCCATAATCCCAGCTCTCAGGGGGCTGAAGCAGGAGGATCACTGTGAATTCCAGGCCAATCTGGGCTACCTAGTGAGTTCAAGGATAGCCCAAACTACATAGTGAGAGTGTCTCAAAAAACAAAACAAAGCAAAAACAAGAAACGATGAAAGTCAAGCCCAAAAATCAAAAGATGGATATCAATGGAGGGAGGACAGGCAGGCCGACCCAGTGAACAGCGTCTGAGATAAGCACACTCAGGGACTAAGGAGAGGAGGAAGACTCCAGGGCCCCAGGGTGAAGACTGAGAAACTGTGGCTCCCAGGAGGGGTGTACAGGGCAGTAGGCAAAAAATGAAGGTGCAGACAGGCAGAGCTGAGGGGCAGAATTGCTGAGGTTCCCCTACTCATCCACAGCCTCTGTTTGGGGGTCCAGAGTCTGGTCAGGCCAGACTGTGACCCTAAGGGAACCCAGAGCAGCCCAGTCCCTCCTCCAGGGTAGCTGCTCCTAAGAATAGCGCCCCCAGCAAAAGGGCAGACAACAGCTGGGAGGGGGAGGGGCATCGAGCTTGCCTGGGGCTGGAGAAGTCAGGTTGGGGAGGAGGGCTGCTTGTCCCCCAGCTGGAGCTGTGGCAGCTGCCTGGCACCAAGGCCATGGTCTTAGGAGGATCACAGTCACCTAGAATAAAGTGGCTGGGGATGAAATGAGAGAGCAACTCCAGAGACACTGCTGTGGGTGTAGAAACTCAGACTGAGGTGAGGAAAGAGGACAGGGTGGTGCTAGAAATGTGCTTGTAGAGATGGGCCTATATGAGAAGAAAGAGGTGGTGGACACACTGAGACCCTGTGAAGGGACCAGAAATAAGACCATGGGGAGGAAGGCAGGTGGCTTCCAGCAAAAGACCTTTGGAAACAGCATCATAGAGAAAAAAGATAATGGGAGAAAGCATCATGATGCCACATGACTATAATCCCAGCACTCAGGAAGCTGAGGCAGGAGAATCTCTGAGTTTAAAACCAACTTGGAGTACACAGAAAGACCCTGTTTCAAAAACAAACCACAAAAGCCCTGAGCCTCTCTGCTGTCCCCCTACAGGTGTATTTTGGGCGCTGGCTGATTGAGGGGGGACCCCTGGTGGTGCTCCTGGATGTGGGGGCCTCTGCCTGGGCCCTGGAACGCTGGAAAGGAGAGCTCTGGGACACTTGCAACATCGGGGTGCCCTGGTACGACCGAGAAGCCAATGACGCTGTCCTCTTTGGCTTCCTCACCACCTGGTTCCTCGGTGAGGTAGGCCCCACCGCAGACCGGTCCCATTGTTTCCCCCAGGCCTGAAACTGCAATGACCGTCAGCACCAGCCCCCCCACCCCCAGGCCAGAGGATGGGCTTCTCCTGGGACATTCGGAAAGTTCCACATTCTTTGAACTAATTATTAGCTCTGATCTTTGGGGACATGATGATTCCATTTCCTAAGAAACCCAAACTGTTGATCTTAACTTCATTTACTAAAGTCTTCCAAAGTAAAGATTGTGAGCCATTCGCTCTATGGTGCTAGTGTAGCCTATGGAGGCCTGAGGAATCCTGGGACTTGTAGTTCTTTAGTCCGATAGTGGCTGGACCAAAGCACTCGGTTATGGAGCTGGATACTTGAGGATTCCCCAATGTAAGAACCAGGAACCCTCCAAAAAAAAATAAATAAATAAATAAAATAAAATAAAAAGGGGCTGGGGATTTAGCTCAGCGGCATACGCGCCTGCCTTACAAGCAGGCAGTCATGAGTTCGATCCCTGGTAACGATAAAAAGGAAAAAGACCAAAAAAAAAAAAAAAAAAAAAGAACCAGGAACCTTGATTCTGATCCCCTTTTAGGATTTAAGAAATTTAATTTGTCATGTCCTGGGACAATTTAAGAACCTTTTGCTCCAAGGCATTCTGGGAATTGTAGTCCTTTGCCAGTAGTGACTAAGGTAAGCAGTCTCAGGCCAGAGATATAACTGCGGTGCCTGCCAAGCGAAAGATCCTGAGTTCCATTCCTAGTACAAAAAATAAATAAAATTTAAAAAGTCTCCAGGACTTAGGGACACAAAAACCTCAGTCTTCTCAATTCAACCTTGCCAGGACTTAGAAAGTTGAAAGAACTCCAGCTTGTAAGGGGTGAGGGCAGCTGGTCTACCTGCCCCACAGAGCCTCGTTCCTTGTTATTGAGGTACAGCTGCCTGCCCTAGGCCTTGGTGCTGATGAAGTTACCTCTCCCCCTCCTCCCTTACCACCTTGGGCACTGCTGACTCACGGCACACGCGCAGACACAGTGACCCTGTCGTTGCCTCACAGTTCCTGGCCCAGAGTGACGAGAAGCCACATGTGGTTGCCCACTTCCACGAATGGTTGGCAGGTGTTGGGCTCTGCCTGTGCCGTGCCCGGCGGTTGCCTGTGGCCACTATTTTCACCACCCATGCCACGCTGCTGGGGCGTTACCTGTGTGCTGGTGCTGTGGACTTCTACAACAACCTGGAGAATGTGAGCAGGGTGCAATGGATGGTGGAGGCTGTACCCACGGCACTGGGAAACCCAAAGGGATTGAACTCCCACCTCCCCCAGGGCTCAGGAGCTCAAACCCCCAGCCCCTACCTCCCTGAGACCCAGGAGTTCAGCTTCCGGCCCCAAACTCTCCCAGGACCCTAGAGTGTAGATCTTCAGTCTTCTCCTTAGTCCTCCTGACCTGATCATCCTGCTTTCTCTCCCCACTCCAGTTCAATGTAGACAAGGAAGCAGGAGAGAGACAGATCTATCACCGCTACTGCATGGAGCGGGCAGCAGCCCACTGTGCTCATGTCTTCACCACTGTGTCCCAGATAACGGCCATCGAGGCTCAGCACCTACTCAAGAGGAAGCCAGGTAGGGACTGAGCCAGAGTCCTTAGACTGAATGTGTATGCCAGGGCCAATACCAATTTTTTAAACTATGAAGAATAGGACTACAACTCCCAGAAGGCTATTCGGTTAGTGTGGCAACCTACAAATCAGGCTGCCTGATTTCATATGCCTGGGGGGCTAATGGGAGTAGTAGTTGCAGTGAACCTTTTCAAAAATGTTACCTCTCAGTAATTGGCTTATGTCCTCATTGGTCTCCCAAAAGGGAGTGCAAGGCTAGTAGACATTATTTGTGAGAAAAGTAGGGTTGGAACCCTACTTTTTCCCTAGATCTGAGTACCCAATTTTCATTGAGTGTAAAGTGAAAACTACAACTCCCAGAAGGCCTTTGCCTACCCAACTCCTTCTGCTCCTGAAACTTAGCCCTAGGAGCTGACCTAGGGGTTGTGGTTTTTCACTGACATAGTTTAATTTCTATGCGGTGGGGAAATGGGTCCCTGAAAGAGGTTTGACAGTAGAGAGTATATCTTGGGAGAAACAGCATGTTGGAAGAAATATCTAACCCTCAAGGTAGGATAAGGGGAAGTACAACAAATCCTAGAATCTCTGATGTAGATCAATTCTATGTCTTGTCAGCCATTTGCAAGAGCTGAGGCTACAGGGCTAGGGGCATAAGCGCCTGCCTGGCAAGAGCAAGGTCATGAGTTTGATTCCTGGTACCCATCCCCCACCCTACCCCCTCCAGTTTTAAAACTTTAAAAATTAAAAAAAACAAAAAACAAAAAAACACTTAAGAGGCTGGTGGTTAACCTTGTAAGCATAAGCAAGTAACATTAGGCAAGAAAGCATGGGGCAGCAGGAAGGGATTTCCCAGAAGACCCATTGAAACAAGTTGCAAAAGGGATGAGTTCTTTCCTTCATTCAACACGTTGGTCTGAATGAACAAATAAAGAAATAAAACATGAAACCTTCCATCCTCATCCCAGATATTGTGACCCCCAATGGGCTGAATGTGAAGAAGTTCTCTGCCATGCATGAGTTCCAGAACCTCCATGCTCAGAGCAAAGCTCGGATCCAGGAGTTTGTGCGGGGCCATTTTTATGGGTATGTGACCAAGGTACCTGTGGCTGAGGGCACGGGGCCTGAACACCTGGACCCAAGTCCTAGGAGTCCTCAGGCATTAGGAGCTCAACTTCTTTAGAATGGTAGGAAAAAATTAAAAAGTGATCCGCATCTAAGGAGGAAAGAACCATAGCCCCTAGGAGAGAGGCTCCATGATACCTCAGCATTGTCTAAAATGCGCTTTGCCTCTGTGGCTTCTGGGATTTGTAGTTTTGAGGACAACCACAAGGTAAGACCCTTGGACCTCACCCTGCTATGTGGCTTCTTTAGGCACCTCGACTTCAATTTGGACAAGACCTTGTATTTCTTTATTGCTGGCCGCTACGAGTTCTCTAACAAAGGGGCAGACGTTTTCCTCGAAGCCTTGGCTCGGCTCAACTATCTGCTCAGAGTGAGGAGGCCTGGATTGTGTGTGTGGGGGGGGAGGGTGATAAAATTAGTGCACAGAGCCAAGTGGGGTGGCACATGCCTGGAATCCCAATACCGGGGAGGCTGAAGCAGGAAGATTGCTGCAAGTTTTGAGGCCAGTGTGGGCTCCAAAGTGAGTTCAAGGCCAGCCTGAACTGCATAGAGAAACCCTAACTCAAAAAAGAAAAAGAAACCAGGTGTGTGGTGCATGCCTCTAATTTCAGTTCTTCGGAGACTGAGGCAGGAGGATCCTTGTGAGTTCAAGGCCAGCCTGGGCTACATAGTGAGTTCAAGGCCAACCTGAACTGCATAGAGAGACCCTGTCTCAAAAAAAAAAAAAAAAAAAAGAAAAGAGAGGAAGAAGAAAAAAAGGCAGTGTAAACTTGCAGAGCATAGGACCAGGGAGGTGGGAAAGCCATAGTGATGCAGGGGTGTGGAGATCCAGAAAGGAGACTCAAGGCCTACGAGTGAGGTTATGTCTGCCTTGTGATTCTCCTTAGCAGAAGGGGCCTGGCAGGGTCCTAGTCGTCCTGCTGCTGCCACAGGTGCATGGCCTACTCTCCTGTGAGCTCAGCCTACCCCTTTTCCTCACCCCAGGTGAATGGCAGTGAGCAGACGGTGGTTGCCTTCTTCATCATGCCGGCTCGGACCAACAACTTCAACGTGGAAACTCTCAAGGGCCAGGCTGTGCGCAAGCAACTGTGGTCAGCAGCCCCTGTCCCCACCCCCAGGCAGCCCCGATGTTCTCCAGACATCTGGGTTTTGTCCTCTAATATGATTGATCACCCCACCCTCATTTCTGGTGATATTACTCCCTCGGGAGGCCTCTAGGGGCCTGGCTTCCTCTCTGTGGTGCAGCACTTGTCTGGCTTGAGTGTTCTGTTCCCGGAACTGCAAAATGAAAAGCAGCACCGGAATGCCATATAATTCTTTTCTTTTTTTGTCTTTTTGAGACAGGGTCTCGCTATGCAATGCAGGCTGGTCTAGAGCTCACTTTAAAGCCCAGGCTAATCTTGAATTTACAGAGATCTTCTTCCCTCCACTTCCTGAGTGCTGGGATTACAGGCACATGCCACCATACCCAGGCCCATATAATCCTTTAAAAAACAGTTTAAAAGCCAGTGTGGTGGCACACACCTGGAATCGCAGCACTCTGGAAAGCTGAGGTAGGAGGGTCATGAGAGTTTGAGCCCAGAGTGGGTGATGTAACAAGACCCTGAGTCAAAATAAGGAGGATTGGGAAAAAAAAAAAAAAAACAAGAGTTGGGAATGTGGCTCAGTGCAAAGGTCCTGGGTTCCATCCCCAGTACCAAATGGGAGGAACTACAAAGAAACAAGAAAGTGTGCCTTCATAAAGCTTATACTGAAGATCGTTCTCTAGGAGCTACTCTGGCAAAATAAAGGCAGGGTTAGAAATGAGTTAGATGGTCACGACAGGGGATACTGAGAAAGTGCCATTGGCAGAGACAACAAAGGAAGGAACAGGGCCTGTGTGTCGTGCAGAACAGTATTTCAGGCACAAGCCAAGAAGTGCACGTGCAAAGGCCCTGCGTATGTCTGACAATGAGGCATCAGCATGGCTGGGGCTAGGCATCCTGGGAGATGGGTTAGAAACTCAGGCTGAATTGGATTGGATGCTACACGCTTGTCATCCTTGCTCTCAGGAGGCTGAGGCAGGAGAATCAGCATGAGTTTGGGGCTAAGGTAAGTAGTGAGTTCAAGGCCAGCCTGCACGATGTTGTAAGACCCTGTCTCAAAAAAAAAACAAAACAAAAACATAAAAAGGAAATGAGGCTGAAGCTATGGGAGGGCTGTACACAGAAAGTGACATCTGGGCTGCTCTGGTTGCCTTACGTGTGCCATAGACATTCCTGTCTCGGCATCTTCCTTTTTCATAATATGGGGCCCGGCGTTGCTGTGGTCAGAATCCGTCAAACCTAAGAATAGCTGGCATTTCAGGAGGCTTGCTGTGTGCCGGGCACTGGGTGTTTTTTCTCTTGACCTCATGGAGTCCTGGCTGCAAACTTCTGAAGTCGATTCTATTTTTATACTCATCTAATAGATGAGTCACAAAGTCAGAGAGGAAAGGCCACCTGTCCCTGGTTACACAGCCGATGAAGACACAAGGAACCCCAGGCTTCCAGGCCTGTCCCGCTGTCCCCACCCTCCAGCCCAGAGGCCCCAGCATGCCGCTGCTCTACCCTGGCCTGAGTGTCCCTGCTGCCCCGACCCCATCCCCTAACCTGCCGGTAGATGGGAGCTGATGTCTGTGATGCTGCTCTGCCCTTCCAGGGACACAGCCAACACGGTGAAGGAGAAGTTCGGGAGGAAGCTATATGAATCCTTACTGGTGTGAGTGCTGGCCCTCAGCTCCAAACCCTTCTGCACCCCAGCGCTCCTGCACCCATTGCACCCATACCCTAAAGCATGTCCCCATGCCTTGCAGGGGGAGCCTCCCAGACATGAACAAGATGCTGGACAAGGAGGACTTCACTATGATGAAGAGAGCTATCTTTGCCACACAGGTATGGTTTGAACTCTTTAGCACAGAAATGACAGTTCCCAGAATCCTCAGCTGCCACTCTTCATTCTTTCTTTTTTCTTTTTTTTTTTTTTTTGAGATGTCTCACTGTGTAGTTCCATCTGGTCTTGAGCTCACTCACTATGTAACCCAAATAGTGCTCCAATTCATGGGGATCCTCCTGCCTCAGCCTTCCGAGTGCTAGGACTATAGACCTGTGCCACCATTTACAGCTACCACTGTTTTTTAATTCCAATGGTCATGTCTTAGTCTCTACACACCTCTAGGAGCTTTAGCTTTGGTTACTGAGGATGACCAAGTTAGGTGGAATAAAGACCTTCGATTTATCAGTCAAAAATGAGAACTACAACTCCCAGCAGCCCCTGGGGTTGGCTGCAACATTGACTTCCTTTGAACTAGAGGTTTCTGGGAGTTAGAGTTCTCTCATTCCCTGTGGTCAAGGGACTTTGGTACCTAGGTTGGGACAGATGGAAACCTACACAGCTACTTTGCAAAGTATAAAATTATTTTGGCCAAACTATAATTTTCAATGGCCCTAAGACAGCCCGGTTTCAGTCATGAATGTTGTTTACATAAGGCTGCTGGGAGTTATATTTTCTTTTTTTTCTTTTTTTTGTCTTTTTCCTTTTTATCAGTACCAGGGATCGAACTCACGACTGCCTGCTTGCAAGGCAGGTGCTTATGCTGCTGAGCTAAATCCCCAGCCCCTGTCGAGTTATATTTTTTTGAAACTGTGGGATGAGTAGACTGAGGTTGAGTGGAACCTGTAATAATGATGGAACTGGGCATGTTGGTGCACACATGTAATCCCAGCACTCTGGATGGTTGAAACAGGAGGACCACAAATTCAAGTTTTACCTGTGGCAAACTAGACAACGTGCTTCAAGATAACAAATAGAGATAATGGAATATTTTCAAAGAATTGTCCATTCCAATAACCTCTGGTGCTTCCTATCACTAATTTTGTGTTGTGGCTGTAACTTCTGGAAATTGTGGTTTCTTTGGGCTCCTATTAGGGATGGGAGTGAGTATGTGTGTGTGTGTGTGTGTGTGTATGTGTAGCTTTTTTTTTTTTTTCGTCTTTTTCGTTTTTATCGGTGCCAGGGATCGAACTTACGACTGCCTGCTTGCAAAGTAGGCACTTATGCCGCTGAGCTAAATCCCCAGCCCCATATGTGTAGCTTTTCATAAGCAAACTATAACTCCCAGCAAGCCTTGAAACTTATTGGCATATTGGCACAGTGTGTTCCCACTGATTGAGGAAGTTGTAGTTCCTTTTACATTCCTCTAATGAATCAAGAACCAAGAATACAAAACAAAATGATAACAACTCCCCATCTTTTTTTTTTTTAATTTTTTTTTGTCTTTTTCCTTTTTATCGGTACGGAGGATCGAACTCAAGACTGCCTGCTTACAAGGCAGACGCTTATGCCGCTGAGCTAAATCCCCAGCCCCCATAACTCCCCATCTTCCATGGAGTTTTTTTTTTTTTAAATGCTGGCTGTCCCCTACAGACAGCTGAGAATTGTAGTTCTTTTCAGAAAAGAGAGTCTGTCTAGTTAGAGCAGCAACTCCTGGGAATTTCTTGCGTCATGTTTTCTTGGTCAGCATGGTCCATGGGAAGTGAGAAGTTCTTGATCTCTTCCATAACAGTCCCCCTCCCCTTGTGACCCCCACAGCGGCAATCGTTCCCTCCTGTGTGCACCCACAATATGCTGGATGACTCCTCAGACCCCATCTTGACCACCATCCGCCGGATTGGCCTCTTCAATAGCAGTGCCGACAGGGTGAAGGTGAGGGTGCTGGCCGGGAAAGGTGGTAGATGGCACAGGGAGGGGATTGCACCTGGATGTAACATCCCCACGCCCCTGATTTATCAAAAGGGTGGTTGGCTTTTGAAGTGAACCGAAGTGGGTTGTGTCTCTGTTTTGTCACCTACATACTGTGTGGAACACCCTGTTCTCAGGAAACAACTACATGAAATGCTTGTGCTGAGTGCTACTTTTTACCTGCCAGGTGATTTTTCACCCAGAATTCCTCTCCTCCACAAGCCCCCTGCTTCCTGTGGATTACGAGGAGTTTGTACGTGGCTGTCACCTTGGGGTCTTCCCCTCCTACTATGAGCCTTGGGGCTACACGCCAGGTAAGTGCTTCCCGGTGTTGTCCAGGTCTGCCATGATCTTGGGACAAGACCCTGGCCTTCCCTGAGCCCCTTTCTCTCCTCTGCTAAATAGAGACGATGGTGGGGCCGGGAATACAGCTCAGCAGCACAAGCACCTGCCTGGCAAGTGCGAGGTTATGAGTTCAATCCCCAGGACCAGAAAAAAAAAATTAGGCACAATGGTAACAGACTACTCTACTGCAGCCTATGTTTTTGTGACACAGCAACCTATATGGCTCAACACTAAAAGACTTAGCAGGTGCAGCGGCGCATGCCTGTAATCGCAGCACTTGGGAGGCTGAGTCAGGAGGGTTGTTGAAAGTCCAAGGCCCACCTGGACTACATAGTGAGACCCTGTCAAAAAAAACCATTAAACAAACAAAATGAAATAAAACAAACTAGAAGACTGATGTCAATTTCAAGTGCTATCACCATTCACTCCCCAGTTTTCAAATGCTTGGTCACCAGGAGTCACAGTTCTCTAACAATTAAAACAGCCAAGTCTCGCTCTGAGTTGGAAATGCTCATCTACAGTTCTCCCTCACTTCCAGGAAATTTTGCTGTACTGTTTTCTATCAAGTTGCTTTTTTTGGTTGGCTAATTTGTTTTTTCTGAGACAGGATTTTGCCCTGTACTTTGAGACTGGTCTCAAACTCTCCATCCCGCCTGCCTCAACTTCTAGAGTGCTGGGATCGCAGATATGTATCACCAAGCCCCACGTCATATTTTTATCTTTAAATTAATATCATATTTCCTGTTATATTTGTTGATGTATAAGCAATTTTTAAAAAAATTTTTTTAAATCGGTACTGGGGATCGAACTCATGACCTTGTACTTGCAAGGCAGGCGCTTATGCTGCTGAGCTAATCCCCAGCCCCTGATGTATAAGTAATTTAACAAATCTTTTAAACTGTGCTTACATGATAGTTAGTTTCTCTAGCTCTTTTTCTGCTGTCATTACAACAGGATACAGATTTTATGGAGTCAGCCCCAACCCTCTTCTCATAAACTTTGTTATATATTTTTTTTAAAATCCGTACCAGGGATCAAACTCACAACTGCCTGCTTACAAGGCAGGTGCTTATGTCGCTGAGCTAAATCCCCAGCCCCAACTCTGTTATATTTAGTGCCTATTTAAACGCCCATTTATGGAAGTTTTTAGGAATATATTTAAAAGACTTAAAAACTCAGCGTGGTGGTGCATAACTGAAATATCAGCAGTTGGGAGGCTGAAGCAGGAGGATTGCTGTGAGTTCAAGGCCAGCCTCACTACAAAGAGAGTTTGAGGGCTAGGGATATAGCTTAGTGGCATGGTCCCTGCCTGACAAGCTCAAGGTCTGAGTTGGATTCCTGGTACCTAAATAAATATAAAATATAAAATAAAAAAGGGGAGGGAGTTCAAGGCTGAACCACATAGTGAAACTCTGTCTCAAAAGAAAAAGAGACATGCTTTTTTTCTTTTTAATTACCTGTCAAAATAGACTGGCACTTATAACCCAAATAATGTAGTTCTGGCTTCTGGCCTAAAAAATATATCTTAAGGTTCCGAGGATTAATTAAAATGATGGATACTGGCCCAGATAATCTGCCCAAAAATCATCTATGTTTCTGGACTGTGGACGTTTCTCCATTTTGAATTCTCAGAGCAGCTGAATTCCCTTTTCTGAATCTTTTAGCTTCCTCTCTAAAATATCCTGAGAATATAAGCTAGTCACAGCACAAATTGCGGGCTCGAGCCAAAGCATTTCGTTCACCGTCAGCAGAGGGCGCTATTGTTTTTATTACCATTTTAAACCGTAGGACAGGGAATGGTAGAGCACACTTGTAACCCTAGAGTTCTGGGAAGCCCAGGCAGGAAGATCCTAAGGTCGAAGTCAGCCTGGGCAATTTAGAAAGACTTTGTCTCAAAGTGAAATCTAAAAAAATAAATAGGACAGGGAATGCAGCTTAGTGTCAATCCTCAGTACAAACAAAACAAAAGTCTTAGGAGAGAAGAAAGCTGTGGGCGTTTCTCCTGTCTCCCTGCAGCCGAGTGTACAGTCATGGGCATCCCCAGTATCTCCACCAACCTCTCTGGCTTTGGCTGCTTCATGGAGGAGCACATCGCAGACCCCTCAGCTTACGGTCAGCGCCCAGGCCCCTGAGGGTTAGAGAGGGGCAGCTGGGACGGGTGAAACCTGAGCAGGAGGGATGTGGGGCTCACGGGGTGCTGATGCTACCAAGTCCTGGAGACCATGCAGGTCTCCTCAAACTGTTCTTTGAACCCTCCTGCTCCTGCCTCTGCAGGCATCTACATTCTGGACCGGCGGTTCCGCAGCCTGGATGATTCCTGCTCACAGCTCACCTCCTTCCTCTACAGCTTCTGCCAGCAGAGCCGCAGACAGCGCATCATCCAGCGGAACCGCACAGAGCGTCTCTCAGACCTTTTGGACTGGAAATATCTAGGCCGGGTATGACCCTTTGCGTACCTTTAGCTGTCCCCTGCGCTCTAGCTCCATCAGCCACCTCCAGCCCCGGATGTGGGCTTTTGCAGCCTCAGAAGGCTGGTGCAGGTGGTAGTCTCCTACTTGTAACAGTTGCTATCTATTTAAGCAATGAATGGGCTGCTCCAAGGAGGACTTGGGCTGAAGTTCTTTTCATTTACATAAAGGTGTGGCCAAAGCGGTGCTTAGCTGGGGAATTTCCTTCCCAGGGGAGTGTGGCTCCGGGATTGCCCATTCACAGCTCTGCTTATCTACCACCAGAAAGGTGTAGATTTGCATAAAAGCCTGGCCAGGATTCACCACTCTGAAGGAGTGGACTGTGACTCTTATGTCCCTTGACACTACCTGTCCTTTCCCTTAAGTACTACATGTCTGCGCGGCACATGGCGCTGGCCAAGGCCTTTCCGGATCACTTCACCTACGAGCCCCATGAGGCGGATGCGGTGAGTGGAACAGAGATCTCTGCTGGGCCAGTAGTTAGCGCGCTGGGCTGAGGCTGGGGCTGGGGGTTCCTGGGGATGGTAAAGTCCTACAAGGGGGGCACATACCTCTCAGGACTTTCGGGGCTTCTGCTCAATCTGCGATTTTTGTTCTCGCTCGGGGATGTAGGCACAGGGCTACCGCTACCCACGGCCAGCCTCGGTGCCCCCATCGCCCTCACTGTCTCGACACTCGAGTCCGCATCAGAGCGAGGATGAGGAGGAACCCCGGGAAGGGCCACTTGAGGAAGATGGCGAACGATATGACGAGGACGAGGAGGCGGCCAAGGATCGGCGCAACATCCGCGCGCCCGAGTGGCCACGTCGAGGCTCCTGCACCTCCTCCACAGGCAAGCGCAGCAACTCATTGGACACTGCGCCCTCCAGCTCGCTGAGCACACCCAGTGAGCCCCTCAGCCCTGCCAGCTCCCTGGGGGAGGAGCGCAACTAAGATGGCTACGCCCCCTCCCGCCTCCCACCTGTCCTCTGTGTCCCTCTTCAGAGTGGACACAGCCAGCGGGTGTTCCAGAGTCCCACTCCAGATCCCCAGTGGGATCCAACCTTGACTGATGCACACTTCTGTCCCTCCAGCTCCTTTCTTGGAGTCCCCACACTCCAAAGCCCAAACACTGTGCCTTTCTTGGATTTCAGAATGCATTATCTGTGCCCCAGAGTCCTCCAGGCTTAGACTGGGTCCCAGAGCCTGGGAATCTGCCATTACATTGCAGGGGCACCAGAGGTGCTGGGAAGCCTGGCCTGTTGTGTTGTAGGCCAAGGCTCCTAGAAGCTTTCATAGCTTGCAAATTCTATAGCATACACAGCATGCCGTGCCCAGGCCTTGCCTGGGGACCACCAAGCACTAGAAACCACATTGTAGGAGCTGGGGATTTAGCTCAGCGGCATAAGCACCTGCATTGCAAGCAGGCGGTCGTGAGTGAGTTCAATCCCTGGTACCGATAAAAAGGAAAAAGACAAAAAAAAAAAAAAAAAAGAAAGAAAGAAACCACATGGTATCCCTGCTAATGGGACAACCAAGTCCAGCGATGGGACACTTTCAGGGACTTAATGCCAGTGGTTCTTTCTTCCGTTTCAACTCCCGAGCTCCAGGAGGGACTCACCGTGTAGCCCTACCTGGAGTATCCAGTCCTGCCCAGAGTATCCCTAAGTGCTCTTGTGGTCACCCACAGTTTGACCAGGCTGAGGGTGGCATAAGCACTTGGCTCCTCATTCCTTGTGGAGAGCATGCAACCTTGGTCTAGACAGCCCTCTGCCTTTCTGGCCTGTTCTGGACAAGATCCTCCCCTCTTTCCTGAGTCCAAGCTCTCCCCTGAGTCTTTCTGTGCCCTCCAGGGACTCCCTCTGCCTGCCCTATCCAACCACTCCATGCACTGTGAAACCACTGGGTTCTAGGTCCCAGCTGCTGCATCTGAAACCTCACCACTGCGCTGCATCTGGACCCCTGTTCTAGAGCTGAGCCCACTGGGTTCTAGAAGTTCCATGGTTACCTTGAGGTTCTTCTGTCCCCAGGCTATGCCTGGCCCCTGGCTTCGGTGAAGGGAGGGCCCTTCATGTGTGCAGTGCTGTATCTGACACTCCACTTTGGTTTGCAGGGGACGGGGAGGGCAGATCGGGTGTGCCTGGAGTGTGTCCAGAGATAAAAAGATCCATCAGTATTGAAGAGTCCCAAGTGTCATCTGACATGAGCAATTGGTGGGCCTTGTTCCTGCCTCCCCAGTCCATGCTGTCCACATGGTTTTAGGCCCTGTACTGCCCTCGCCCCCCCCCTTCCGGGAAGGACTTACATTGCTGTCTTGCTGTCCTAAGATCCCAGCGCTGTGCAAGGAAGCCTCTGACTTCCCTAGTTGGGCTCTGATACTCAAGTGGCAAAAACGTGCCTCACATGATTTTTGGTGTGGAGTTCTGTGACTAAGAGGATGATCCACACAGCAGCCATGAACCCCACGTGGCCACTGAAATGAAAGGTAGTTTCTCATTTCTCAGAATTACCTGCCGTATGCATGGTCCATGGCCACAGGTGGTATGTGGCTGCCCTGTGGACATCACAGATGGACAGACTTGTTTCCAGGACTCTATTCTCAAAAAACATCTTCCTTTTTCTGATCTTCACTAGAAAGGTCATGTGTGTTTCTCTAAAACTGAGATGTATTTCCTGTTAAGTCTGTGTGCAGCAGACAGGGTAAACTTGCAAATCATAAATGGCCACCAAAAGGGGAGTGACAGAAGCATAGTACTAATGGGTACCTAATGGCTTGGTCATTTCAGCTGGGTTGGGGGGTATAGGTGTGGGAAACACTTAGCTGGCTTATACATATATGGCCCTGGGTTTGATCTCCAGTACCCTGGCCCACCAAAACCCTCCTCCATAAAAGAACAGCAAGGGAATCGTCTGACCCAGCAGTTTCTTCAGTTCCCATTTGGAGTATTCAGCCTCCAGTTTCGCTTCCCGTTTGTGTGGGGGCCAAACCCCTAGCTCAGTACCCTTTCCCATTATGTGGCCCCGGGCTGCCCTGTGCCAGCCTTGGCCTCACTCTAAAAATAGCAAGTTTTTAGAGTTAGGAGTCTCAGCTGTCATATATTTAATGGTAGTGACATCAGTTTGCCCATGAAAAGGGGCACAATGCCCCTGGACTCCAACCTGTAGGTTTGGCCCAATACAAGGCCCCCTAATTTATTCCTTAAAACACCCCTTCAGGTTGAGATCCAGTGTCTGGCCCCACCCCAAGTATCACATTAGCTGCCTTCACACATCCAGGGGAAAAAAACCCTCAGCAACACAACATACCCTAGAGATGGGGTCCTGCTTTTTCAGAAAACAGCTAGGGCCAACAGATCTTTCTGCCATTGCCCAGCCTAGACTCATTTTTCCACACTGCATGTGTATACACAAGTCCATAGAACACCACTAGTTGCTGTGAAAGGCTTTATTTTTCTTTTGGTCCAAGATTTGGGAGGGGACTCCAAAGAGGTGAAAAAACTGCCTAGTGACTGGAGGGAGAGGGTCCAGCCAAAGCCCTGATGCCAGTGATGCTGGAGCCCCTCAGATACTGCCAGGCTCTGGGGCCTCCTAGTCGTGCTTAAGTGTGAGCCTTTCAAAGAGGTACTCGCCCAGCCCAGCCTGGGGACCATCCAGCCTGCGGAGGTTAGTGAGGTGGTCACCTATCTTCTTGATGAGCTTCACTTCCTCATCTAGGAAGTGGTTCTCCAGAAAATCACAAACCTGAAAAGCAAAAGAAGTCAGAAATCCAATTCTGGGCCAAGAGGGTGGAGCAAAGCCGTTTCTAACAATGGGACATGCAGGAGGCAGGCTCAGAAGTAAATGTGCCTACGGCTCCTGGGACAGTCACTTACATGAGGGTCTGTCTTGGCAGAGCCCAAGGCATGGAGATCCAGAAGAGCTTGGTTCAGGCTCTTCTCCAGGGTCAGAGCCGCTTCCATAGCATCAAGGGTCTTACCCCACTCATCCTCAGAAGGCTTCTACACAGAAAACAAAAGGCACAGAAACGGCCACGTTATCGTACACACTCACAGAGAGCTAAAACTACAAATCTCAGTTTGAGTGATCCTTTCCTGCAGTAACTTGCACAGCCTACACCTGATTTCCCAGAAATCCCAGCGACAACTGATCAGCTAAGGCCCAGGAGGAGCCCCATGGCAAGGACTGAAGTCGCTACTTCAGTCCTTGTTTACCTGCACGTCCTGGAAGAGCGCGCGGCCGCCGCGCTGGTTTTGCATTTTCAGGAGGCGCTCGGCACCCTCACGTTTCTCCTTGGCCAGCTCACGGAAGAAATGGCCCACGCCCGCCAAAGCCACATCGTCGCGGTCGAAATAGTAGCCCTGCGGGAAGAGATGGCGGGAAGTATGTGGAGAGTTGAGGCCAGGCAAGCGGCCTCCTCCCTCCGCCTGCCCCGCAAAACAAAGACGGCCTGCGCATGCGCACAGCCAACAAGTGCGCAGTTACGAGGAAACAGGGCCTAGGGTGTTTGGGGGACCCTTACCAGAGAGAGGTAGGTGTAGGAGGCCTGCAAGTGCAGGTTCACCAAGCGGTTGACGGCAGCCTCCACCTCGGTGGAATAATTCTGACGAATCTGAGAGGTCATTGCTGATCAGCGGGAAGGAGCTACCCACAAAAGAACGGTGTAGGCTGGCCCTGGAAGGAGCAGATGGTCGAGAAGATGGTCCCAAAATTTGTACCTGGAGAGTGGATGGGAGATTTAAAAAAAAAAAAAAAAAAAAGGAGTCCCCGGGTCTGTTCCGTCCAAACACTGTTGAAGCAAGAGACAGATCCGCGGGACCTCCGGACGCGCTGCTGGAAAGGAGGCGCTGGGCGGTGTCTTTTATAGGACGCTGCATTTCGGAGGCGGGGCGCTCAGGACAAGCGAAAGGCCAATCCGCAGCGGAGGAAGGCTGGGCCTGGAGGCTATTCCTGACCAATCCCGAGCAGATGAGTACCACCCCCCTCCCCGTGGCGAGGTGGAGAAGTCACGCGCCTGAAGCGCGAGACTGTTGGGAAATGGAGAATTCGAGTCTAGGGGTGGGGGTTGTGGGGCTGATTTGGGGAAGTCAAGGGGCTCTGGGGAGGGTCTTTCTGGGAGGTGGGCGATTTCATGGGGAGACACTGTTGATAGTGGAAAGTTGCGACTATGAGGCCATGGTGGGCAAGCTTAGCAAGCTGGCTTTTCCGGCTGTGAAAACGTGGGTTTTCCTACAAGGTGCGCGGAGTAGGGGAGGGTAGCTCAAAAGGTAGGAAGGAGACCGGGGGAGTGGGTGGTCGGAGAGACTGAGGAGTTTGGAAAGAGGTAAGATGGTATTTCTGGGACCCAGGGGGTTGAGAGAGAGAAGAGTTCGAAACTGGGGTGTATGACAGGCAATCCGTATTTTCCTGGAGCTCTTTAAGTGAGCTGCAAGATGGAAAGGGACCCTGGGGGCTGTCTCTGGGAGCAGGGTAGGGCGTTTTAAGAAGTAGAGCAGCGCGTGGAACTTCTGCAGGCCTCTTGTATCCCCAGAAAGGTGGGGAGCCGTTTAGGGTACATATTATATTCTGGCTCTCGCTTTGGGGGCGGTCCTCAGGACTACAGTCCTGGGGGTGTTGGGGGGGGGGCTGGGAGTCTGAAGAGGGAAGTCTAGTTGATCTGGTGTCTTCCCTACCACCTGCTGCTTTGGCTCACAGCGAAGCCATAGGTCCTGGAAAAACATGGCCTGCGGCCCTAGGACAAGCTGTCTGACATTAAAAGTGTGCTGGTTTCACCCTGCTCTCCAGGAGCCCGAGTTAGCGCCAGGAAGGTCACACCTCCACTGAGCCCCATCTTGGGGGGCCCTCGAAGACAGAAGCCCTTACTCCTGCTTAGGTGCCCCCTGGAGGAGGCCCGGGGAGCTGGAGCTTCCGGTTTGGGTGAGCGGCGCGGTGCTGAGTCATGCTGAACTCAGCGAGGAAAGGGGCTGGGCGGGCGCGGCGCTCAGGGAGGAGAAGCGGGGGGGGGGGGGGGGGGGGGACGACACACGACCCCACTACCAGGCTTGGGGCGCCCCGCCCACCCCCGAGGTGCGCCCCGACGGAGCCCCGTGTGCGCCTTGTCTGCGCCTGCCCCCCCCCATGCTTCCTTTGCTTGGGACCTGCCGCCGTCTCAGTGTCCCCTTTCCAGAGTCCCTACCATGGCGCCCCTCATAGCTTTCCCGTGACGTGGTGTCTGGAGTGAGGGCTGAGGGGCGGGCCAGGTGCTCAGTGCCCTGCTGATTAGAAAAACGGGGATTACTCATTGACCATACTGCAGACCGCAGCAAGGGACCTTTAGCCTCAGGCAGGTCCTGGCGGGAAAGGCGACCTTGCAGGGCCCTGGGGGGATGGGGGAGGGGGACGCAGAAGAGAAGGGGCTGCGAGAAAGATCAAGAAACTGAAGGGATTGGGAGGAGGGTCAGACTGAAACCCTTGAGGGCTGGGTGCGGTGGGACTCCACGTTTATAACGTTGGGAGGCATTGCTGGGAGGCTGAGGCAGGAGGACTGCTGCGAGTTTGAGGCCATCCTGGACTACACAGCGAGGCTGTCTCACTCTTAACAAAGGGCTGGACACCCAGAGAAGGAGACAGAGATGCAAAGGTGGAGACAGAGCTGGAGGGGCACACTTGCAGGTTCTGACAGGTTGGTCTCCTGTCCTTCCCTCCCCCAGATTTTGGAAGTCCAGCACCTGCTGTCTCCAGCCAGGTCCAACTGTCTCTGTCCCCTTGGTGCTTCAGGTCTGGGTCCCTCCACTTGGGACTACCCGCACCTAGCTAGAGCCCACTGCAGCTGCTCCCTGCCTCCTGCACTCTGCTTACTGAGCTCCAACTGTGTGCTTGGCCAGCTGGGGAGGGTGCTTTGTGCCCACTGCTGGCACCTCCTGTCCCAGCACAAGTAAGCCTGGGCTGCACTGTGCAAGGTGATGGGCAGCCTTGGGATCCTGGAGATGAGGAAGGGACTGTGTCCTCCTTTGTCCAGACAGCACTGGGCATCCCTAAAAAAAGCTAGGCTCCAGGTCTTCAAGGTATCAGGTGAGCAGACAGCAGTGGAGTGGTGGCCTGAACCCTGCTGTCTCCAAGCTGTGGAGCCAGTGACTCAAGACTCCACACTGTGGCCCGAAGGAGGTTTATTGCCCACTGCGGTCCACACTTCCCTCCCCTCCCAATAATTACAAAAGTAAGAAAAATGTCCTGTCCCTGGTCCCAAGTCCCCCCACCAAAAATGCCATAATTTATGCAGAAAAGACACAGTTCAAGGCGGCTGCGGCCTCAGCCCATGTTCTTCCAGATGGTCAGTGAGGCGGTGAGCACGCCGGCCACAAAGATGGTCACCGTCTGCCAGGTCGGGGTTCCAAAGTACGAGAGGAGGCCATCCTGGGGACAGAGATGTCACTTCAGGAGCACGGCAGGCCACTTCCGGGCCTACTCAAGGGCCTTGGAATCGAGGGCTCAACCTGGGGGTGGAGGGTGTCACAGGGACATACAGGAATGTACTGGACTAGAAAAGTGGGGGTAGGGGGGAGGCTGCAGCACAGCTGACTTGGGTTGACAACACAGGCAAGGAAACGCTTTACCAGTGACCTACGGGGGGAGAGGGTGGGCCTGCAGGAAGGCCCATGGGTCCCCAGGCCTCTCACCCAGCCACCCTGGTCCTGGATCCAGCTCAGCAGGCGGTCTCGGAGGAAGTCTAGTGTCCAGCCCATGATGGTCCTGATCAGCTCGGGTACCTTGGTGCACAGCGCCTGCAGAATGAGTGTGTTGGGGGGAGGGGGGGCTCAGCCCCAACGCTGGGATAAGGGCCCTGAGCTTGCTCTTCCAGCCTCTGCCTCCCATGGCCATCTCTTGCTCCCCCAGGCAGGAGCCATCCTAGATTCCAGGCGGCTCTGGGTGGATTATCCTAGCTCTTTCCTGTTTCTGTTCTGTGCCTTACATGCTGCTTTTGTTTGTGGTACTCGGGGTCAAACCCAGGTACCAAGACCCTCACACTGGGTTACATCACCAGCTCCTCCCACTGCTTTGAGACAGGGTCTCGATAAATTGCTAGGCTGGGCTTGAAATTGTGACCCAGATCCTCCAGTATGCTGGGATTACAGGTGTGCACCAACATGCTTGTCTTGTGGCTGGTTGTTGTGAGATGGTCATACCATCCAGGCTAGCCTGTAACTCCTGAACTCAAGCAAGCAATTCTTTTTTTTTTTTTTGTCTTTTTCCTTTTTAGCAGTACCGGGGATCGAACTCACAACTGCCTGCTTGCAAGGCAGGCGCTTATGCCGCTGAGCTAAACCTCCAGCCCGGAAGCAAGCAATTCTTGAGTAGCCAGAACTAGGTGTATGGCATCACGCCCGAAGGTGTCTTTCCTATCAAATACTTTCCTGTCTCAGGACCTTTGCATGTGCTGACCCTTCTAACTAAACAGACCCTAACTAAGCAAAGTCCTACTTACCGCTCAAACTCTGGGTCAAATGTGACTTCCTGGGGAAGGTGTTGTGGACACCCCCACATCCTGAACTACTCCTAACTCCAAGGGCTCCCAGCCAGTCTTCTCCGCTCTTGTCCCAGTGCAAGACACTCCCCTTTTGTGTCCACCACTTTCCCCCTTCACTCCCAATATTATGTCCCAATCACACAATCTGAACACACCAGGGGCTCAGGGGCAGCCTGGTGATAAAGTGCATGCTAAGCACATAGAAAGCCTGGGGTGTGACCCTAGCAACATAAGCACCCGCATTCACTATCCACTGCAAGCACTGGAGGCCAGGGGAATCTTTCAGTTGCACCATGACAGGTGCCACCTTGTCAGGCTCCCTGCCCTTGTCCCCAGTTCCGCGCTGTGTTTGTGTGTGATGCTGGATCAAACCCGGGACCTTGCACCATTTGCTAGGCATACACTCCATTGAGCCACACCCCCTCCCAGTCCTGTCTTTGTTTTTGACAAGGGCTCGCTGTGTCATTCAGGCTGACCTTGAACTAAGAGCTATGTAGCCCTGAACTCACTATGCAGCCCAGGATGGTCTTGAACATGCATCATCGTCCTGCCTCAGCCTCCCAAGTGCTGGAATTATATGTGCTCACTCCTCTTCCCAGGAGACATTTTTTTCTGCAGTATCCAAGGTCTTTTCACTAAACTACATTCCCAACCTTTTTTTTTAGACAGGTGCTAAATAAATTGCCCAGACAGGACTTGAACGTAATGTTTCTCCTGCCTCAGCCTCCCTCAGTGCAGGGATTACAGATGCACACCACTGTGCCTGGCTCTTTCTTATTCTGACCCACAATAGCCAGCATGGTTTGTGGGGCTCCACCCACCCCAATATTTTCCTGAGAATCTTCACCAGGACAAGCTAAAAGAATTCCACCAGGGACAGACAAGACTGCTGCAGCCTGGACCATACAATTAATGTCGGCTATACTTGCTAGGATAATCTCTTCAATTTGCAAAACTGGGTCACCTTGTTCCTTTGTTTAAAATTGACACTGGGCACAGCAGCACATACCTGTATCCCCAGCTACCTGGGAAGCTGAATAGGAAGATCACAGTTCAAGCCCAGGCCAGATGACTTAGCAAGATCTCATCTCACATAAGTAAAAAAGGACTGGGGATGCAGCTCAGTGGGAAGTCTCAGGCTAATCCTCAGTATGCGGTGAGGGAAAAAGGAAGCAAACAAACCAGAAAACAAAAAAAACCCCAGCAGCATCAGGTGAGGCAGCACACATCTATAAGCCAGGTTCTTGGGAGGCTAAGGGAGGAGGATCATATAAAGGCCAGCTC